CAGAGACCAGGGCAACAAGGCCAGGTCAGCAGAGACCAGAGGCCTGTGGACCCCACAGGTGTTCCCTGGAGCCCCAGCAAGGCTTGGGATCCCCCCAGGGCACCTGGATTACCTACTGGTCAGTGCAGACTCAGGGATCAGCGCCTGCCCTCCTGCCCTCTGTGCCCACTCTGTGCTGTGCTCCCAGCTGCAGGAGTGCTGAGCTCAGGAGACTCCTGGGCCTGGTGCCCCACTGTGCCTCTCTGCCTGCTCTCTCTGCTCGGAATGTTCCTGTTGGATGGGCCGGTGCTAGGGTGAGGCCCCCCTTGCTGTCCTCAAGCCCACCTGTCTGTCTTCAGACCTGCCTAGGAGGTCACCGGCCAGGGCTCAGAGAGTGCCGCCCAGTCTCCTGGTCTCATCTATCCCACAGGACCCATATCTATGCTGGATCACCCTGGGCTGGACCACGGTGGGCACTGGTCTCCTCTGGACCATGGTGGGCACAGGTCTCCTCTGGACTTTTCTGTAGCCCCTGCTACCCAGAGCATCCTGCCTGGTCGAGTCAGCTTGCAGACAGAAGATCACTGTGCCGAGTTGGAGAGACAGGAAGTGTGTGGTGTGGCCACAGTGCAGTCACTGGGTATTGCTATTTCCACGGAGACCACTCAGGTGCAGCCCCTGCCGGAGGCTCCTGCCTGCCATGGGTGGGAACCAGCACGAGCCCTGAGCCTGGTGATTGGACCTAGGACCTGGTGTTGAGCCCCTCACTGCCTTGTGGCTGCTCAGGGAGCCCGGCTTCCTTGACTACTGTAGATGTGGGTGTCAGGCAGATGGTTGCCACCAGGGGCCACTGTTCTCTAGGCAGAGGATCCTGAGGTCCTCCAGGGACTAGGATGGGACGGCTGCCAGCCAGGCACCATGTTAGGGCAGGAAGGGTGGTGCCGCCTGATACTGCTGAACCCTCTAGGCAGATTGACTCTGAAGATCAATGGATCTCAGGCTGCTCATCCCTACAGAACCCTAAACACTAGATACTGGGGATCCCACCTCAGGTACCAGAGTAGGTACAGGAAAGGTAGAGATAGGTAACGGGGAGGGACAGGCCCGGGCAAGACCTCCTTCTGGGGACCCAGGGATAACAAGGACTTGGGATGGGAGAGCACTTGTGGCCAGGGGAGCTCAACCCTGGTGGCCCCTGTGCAGTGGGAGCTGTTGACCAACCCAATGTGCAGCCTGGACAGGCCGAGCCGTCACCTGCCTCTCCTCGGTGGGTCACCTGCAGCCTGGCCCAGTTACAGGCATTTGTCCTGGAGAATGGCGGATGATAGCAGCACATGCACATGAGGGCTCAGGTGTCCTGGCACCATCTGAGCACTCTACTGCTGTTCTCCCAAATCCCCACCTCACAGAAACAAGATCCAGGCAAGGGCCTGGATCGCCCGGCACTGTGCTAGGACACTGGCAGCAGTGCAGCAGTGGGCACTGATCTCTTCTCCCTCCCTATCAGCTGCCAGAGAGAAGAGGAATCGCAGGTGGACACCTAGTGACCCGAGCCCAGAGCTGGGCTGGGAGCAGCCAGCTGCAGACGCTGTCTCCCTCGTCAGCTTCTCGGCCTTGAGTGCATCCCGGGCACCATTTAGCTCTTCACCTTGGCCCTCTGCTGCCGCAGGCTGGGGACTTCCATCTCCCTCAGTCCTACTGGAGAGCCTGAGACCTAGGTGAGGGAAGGGCTGGATCCTGAGGCTTCTCTCTGTGACTGCAGACCCATTGTGTCACCATGTCCTCGGCCAGCATCTGCATTCTGATCTCCTCACACCACGGCCCCTGTGTGACCTTGTTTAACCCTGATCACCGGCTCCCACTCTGAGGCCTTGGAAGCTGGAGCTTCTGCAGGACCCTATTGGGGATAGACTCAGCAGCTGCCTTGCTCCCTTGGCAAAGACCATGGCAGCATGGCGCTGCCCAACCTGGGCTCCTGGAGCCCGGCCCTGGGCTCTGACTTCTCCCCTGTGAGGCCAGGATGTTGCTTTCCAGCCTGGCCACTGTGTACTCTTGCCTGGGCCTGTGCTCCTCTGGGCCACATTGTCTGTCAAATCCAGGCCAGCGCAGTGGTGCCAGGAGCCTGGACGCCTCTTCCTGCCATTGATAACTGTTTATTCTCCTCAGAGAAGATCAGATATGAATAACTGAGAAGAAACAAGATGAGGAACAAGCAAGGTGCCAGCTCCTCTCACGGGATGGGCAGAGACGAGCTGGAGGATTGTCTTCTCCCTAACAGTAAAGGGGGTAATCAAGGATCGACCAGCTGGTGCAGTGGTGCAAGCTGGTGCAGTGGTGCAGCTGGTGCAGTGGTGCAGCTGGTGCAGTGGTGCAGCTGGTGCAGTGGTGCTGTCTTCCCAGCACTCAGGAGGCTGAACCAGGGCAATCACTGAGAGTTCTAGGCCAGCCTGGCTGTGTAGTGAGACCCTGACTGAGGAAAATCAGTTTCCTACAGGGAGTAGGGCAGAACCCAGCCAGACAGAATAAGGTGGGTCTCATGCACTCAGGCCCTGGTCAGTGTTCACCCACTGGGGGCACAGGTGCAGGGTGGGACAGGGCTGGGGGGCTAGGGAAGTGCATCACAGGGCAGAAGATTTGTGTCCCGAGTTCTGTGCAGCTGAAGCCTCATCCCACCTGTGTGCCTTCGGAGGCCTTCGGAGAATCCTTCGGTGGTGTCGAGGGCAGGATGGAGGAACAAGAAGTCTCAGCCTGCAAAGAGGGCATCCACACTCTGCGATGACCATTACCACTGACATGAGCAGACCTGGGGCAAGCGCTAGCTGCATGTGTGTGTTGCTGTGTAGATCCCAAGGGAGCTCAGTGTTGGGGCATAAGCACTTGAGGAAGGGAGGCAGGGCCCCACCTCAGGATCCACAGTCCTCATACCCACCTCTGAGGAGGTAGGACACGACTCCATCGTGGTGCCCTCCCACTTCTCACCAGGAAAATGGTGGAGAAAAGCTTCCAGGTCCCAGCCCTGAGGGCCTGAAAGAGCTTCATCAGAGTTGCCCAGAGAACCTCTGGGCTTGAGTTTTAATGATTCTCCAGTTGAAGTTTGAGTGGAAATTCACATTGATCTTAATTAGATCTGATTCCAGCTTACAGGACCACTTGGGTGCATTCACTCAGTGTCCGTAAAGCCCGCAGAATTTTGCTGAGATTTGTAGATGGAGAATGCATAGGGCCACTGGACTCGGGGTGAAAAGGTGTACCCCTGGACCAGTGAGGCTGAGGTTTGGTCCACACATCAGGGAGGAAGCTCAGCCACGGCTCCACCTTACAAACAAGTTGCATTTGAGAAGGCTGCACCTGTGTGTCCAGGCAAGGAGCTCCCACCTGTCCTGCCTGTGACTCCACTGGAAAACAGAGGACCCTGGGGACCACCCTGTGTGGGGAGGTTGAGGCCTATGGTCTGGTTTATCTATACTGCCATAGCATCAACTTGGCAGGGAGGCCGGAGCTGCTGGCCCAGGTGGTGCTTATCTCTAGGAGACCAGCGTCACCACCCACTCTTTTGGGTGGTGTTGGCAGTGTCAGAGGCTCCCAATCAGCCTGTGGGCTGAGGTGACGCCCTCCCATGTTGCAACATCTGGCTTGCCCAGACAGTGTCAGCCAGGTGGCCACCCCCAGGCTTCCTGGCTCACCCCTACCCATCTGTACCCTGTCCTCTCTCAGGGCCCAGCTTTCAGTGCCTCTGACATACCACCTGGGAACTCCCAGAGGGTAGTCCTGCTAGGATGGGGTGTCCATAAACATGCGGTGTGACAATATGAAAGGGCATTCAAGGTCATCTGGAGACTCAGACACTCAAATAGTGGGGACAACTGGGGGTGTGGAGGGACTGAGAGGGACAAGTGCCCAGGCCAGGCCAGGGAGCACCATGGATAAAGGTGATGGAGCCTGTTAGGGGGCCTGTGTGGACAGGGCACAGAACAGCGCAGGAGACCCCAGGGGCTGGCAAAGGACAGCGTCCAGGTGTGTGCTTCATGGAGCAGAGGAACAGGGTTGGGGAGACTTGGAGCCAGCCGGTGGTGGCTGCTGCCTCACTGGCCATGGAAGGACCCTTGTGCTTGTTTGGTGGTGTTTGAGCAGTGGCCCCAGCAGGAGGCAGCTGCCCCTGAGCCCAGAAGGAGATAAGCACACTGCTGGATGGGATGTGTGGGCTGCAGAGACCGTGGCCCCACGCTCACCCAGCAGGCTGCGCAGCCGAGGAAGGCGGGCTCCTGGGCTCAGGGGTCGTGGGATGTGCCACTCATCCTGCCCAGGTCCCTAGGTGTTTGCCAGGTGAACTCCAGGCACAGAGGAACCTGGGACATGCGTTCTCCCAAAGACTCGGAGCCCAGTGTGTCCCAGGAAGGACATGGTGGGTGCGCCAGTGAGGCAATGTGTGCAGTATGTTAGTGCGAGCATAAAGGAGTGTGTTTGAGAGTGACCATGTGAGTGCAAAAGCTACGTGCGTATGCCCTAGTGTGAGCCAGTGTGTGTGCGACTGAGTCTGCGAATGAGACTCTGGTGCACATGGGAGTGGGTGCCCACGCACACGGTGCACATGCACACGGTGTACACGCACACAGCGCATACACCCTGGCCCAGGGAGTCCTCTGGCTCCTCCACGGCCAGCCACCTGCTCACCCAGCATCTGGCCTGCTGCACCTGGCCACACCTTATTATTGTGTGCAAGATCTTGCTGGAACCCAGCCACGCTCACTGCGCCAGACTGTGCCAACTGCCACATAGCTGCTCTCTGACCCTCTGTGATCAGCTTTCAGCTCCCTGACTAAACAGGGTCCCCTGAACCAGGGCCCTAGGGCTGCAGGAACCAATCTGCCCTCCAAGCCCGGTGCCTCTTTGGGCTCGGAGCCCCAGCCATCTAGGCGCTCCTCCTGAGCTGCTGGTCTTGACAGCAGGATAAACATTGATAAAGGTTCAAGTAACAATGACAGGGGCATGAGATGGGGGACAGCAGAAAGTTATTGATCAACCTCACCTCTGTGACCAGCGCAGGGCCAGCTGGGAGATGTTCCAGGTGCTGGCCAAGGCCAGTCCTGCCCTGGGGCCCCAGGTGTTAGTCTGGGCACAGACCATGGCCTCGCACCAGCTGCGTGTGGCCCCGCCAGGAGCCCTGCTCAAACCGCTCTCCGTCCCCAACCGACTGCTTCTGGGTGCTGGCCCCTCCAACATGGCTCCCCGTGTCCAGGCAGCTGGCAGGCTGCAGGTGATCGGGGTCATGCACAAGGAGATATTCCAGGTACACAGCTGCTGCCTGGGCATGAGCCTGCGGGCCACCTTCCTGCTCGTGAGGGACATGGCAGAACAGCGGTGTACCCTGTGTGCCCGCCACCCAGGTCATGGATGAGATCAAGCAGGGCATCCAGTACGTGTTCCAGACCACGAATGCCCTCACGCTGGCCGTCAGCGGCCCAGGACACTGCGCCCTAGAGACAGCGCTGATGAATCTCCTGGAGCCTGGGGACTCCTTCCTGGTCGGGGCCAACGGCATGTGGGGGCTAAGGGCTGTGGACATCGGGGAGCGAATAGGTAAGGCAGGAGGTGTGGCAGCAGGGCAGCAGGGGTGGCCCTCGCCTTGCTGGCCAGCAGCACTCACCCCACACCCCGTGGCAATGGACCCTAAGGGGCAGCAGTGCAGCAGGTGCCTTGGCGCTCTAGGTTGGGAACGGCTGTGAACAGACCGTGGTCTCCTGGTCTGACCGCCTGCAGCTTTTGAGGTCCCCAGGTGTCGCTCTGCTCTGTGACAGGATGGGGTTTCAGGTCCACATCCTCCCTGAGTTTCAGAAATAGCCTTCTTTCTGGGCTTGGGACAACCCTGAGATGTGGCAGCACGGACAGCTGCCTTCCTTGGCATGGTGAGCAGGAGTGGGCTCAGGACAGGCCATGCCCTGGCACCCCAAGAAGGGCCTGGAAAGCTCAGAAGGGTCCTGGCTGCTCCGGGTCCCTGTCAGTCCACATATGCTGTGTCCAAGGGGAGCCAGAGTTAGGCCATAGCACAGCCCAGACTTGGACTAGCCCAGCTGTCCCTGCAGCCCAGCCTGGACTCTCCGTGAGCTGGGGTGGCCCCAGGTGCGTGCCTTGCCCAGACTCTATCGGGCAGCCACAGGACACAGCATTCCAAGAGACGGCAGGCAGGGCCTGATCCCGGCACCACCCTCGGCCAGCCACTCGTCCCAGTCTAGGTCTCCAGACCCTGGGCTCTCTGTGAGTGGCTGTGGGTATGGGGCACCCACAGGCTGACATGTGATGCTCCTTAATCAGTGTGGGGCTGTGAAGCCAGGGAGGCCTGGCTCTCTTGGCCTGAGCACCTTCTGCCCCAGGTGACCGGGTGGGTAGCTCAACACCATCCCTGCCATGGGGGTGCTCACCGCTACCTCCATGGCCTGCAGGAGCTCATGTGCACCCCATGATCAAGGAGCCTGGAGGCTACTACACACTGCAGGAGGTGGAGGAGGTACAGGGTGTGGTGACTGTGGCAGGGCATCAGGGCCAAGGGCTGGGTGGCGGCTGCCCTTTCTAGTGACGGGACCATCTACAGGAGACACTCACATACTTGAGAACAGGTGGGATGTCCGGTGCTGTCCGTTGGGGAAACTGAGTCAGGACAGTCCTGTGGCAGGGCAGGGGTCTGCGGAGCTGGAGGCAGGACTCCCACCATGTGGCACTGTGGACTGTTGGTGGCCCACAAGTGGGCAGCGGCTGGGCCTGATTTCCTGTCTGCCCAGACCACCTGGTCCAGTGGGGGGTTGCTTTGTCTACTGTGCCCACTCTGCCTCAGGGCCTTGCCCATCACAAGCCAGTGCTGCTGTTCCTGACCCACGGGGAGTCCTCCACCGGAGTGCTGCAGCCCCTGGACGGTTATGGGGAGCTGTGCCACAGGTGGGCCATCCCCAACCTGGTGGAGTGCTGTGGGTGCTGGCAGTCCCTCCTGCCCCAGGTAGCAGGTAGCCTGGTCAGAACCTGCCCTGGCATGTGCCTCTTGGGCCTCCGTGCCCCATGTGGGCAGAATCCAGTGGGCTCATCCCACAGAGGATGGCCCAGGGTGTGGAGGGGTGCTGCTCCTGGCCTGCACCAGCCACCCTCCCCTCCCACCTGCAGCATCCCTGCCTCATCCTTGCCTGAGGATAAAACTCATGACCCCAAGCTGGCTCTGCCCTTCCAACTGCCCACCTTGGCTGGCACAAGACATGCCAGAAGCCCAGGCAGAGGTGTGGCCTCCTGGCTGCCGGCATCCAGGCTCTGTCCTCTCCATTGGGCCTGGCACTGGGCAGCAGAGATGGAGAGCTGTCAGCAGGCTGTACCCTCACATTGCCCCTGGGCTCCTGGGGATCCTCTGCTAGCCGCCCCCGAGGTACCCATTGGGACCTGCAAGGCACCAGCCTGTGTCCTGAGCCTCCTTGTAGCCCCTGCAGAAGCTTGCCCTGCTTCATCCACTGCCCTGTGCCCACCCCCAGGTACCAGTGCCTGCTGTTGGTGGATGCCGTTGCATCCCTGGGTGGGGCCCCCCTCTACATGGACCAGCAAGGTGAGCGCCCTCGGCCTGCAGCAGCCTCTTTGGCTCAGCCTGTCTCCACAGCCACTCCCTTGCTGGGTGTATACATTCATTTTCTGTCACTGTAACTAAATGCCTGAGGCTGGGTGACCCAGTGGCCCTGTCACACACCCTGAGGGCCACCTCTTCCAGCCTCCCCCCCCCCCACAGGAACAGTGGAGACACAGATGGCACTGGGTGGGATCACTCTTGGGGGGCATTTGGGAGGCTAGGAGCCTCAGTAGGGCACCGAGGGGCTCTGTCCACCATGTTCAGAGCTGTAGGCCCTGTGCTCAGGAGTTACACACTGCCTGGGAGGGGGATGCTTGCTCAGAGGCTCTGCTGAGCCTGAGACTCGAACCCAGGACCTCCTTCCTGTTCCTCACCCTGTCTTACTACACAGCATGGAGCTGGGCTGGGCTGGGCTGGGCTAAGCCCAACCAGAGCCTGTGCCTCCCCAGGCATTGATGTCCTGTACTCTGGCTCCCAGAAGGTCCTCAACAGCCCCCCAGGAACCGCTCTCCTCTCCTTCAGCAACAGGGCCAAGTGAGTGACCCACAAGTCCCACTCAGTCTAGCCTGGTCCAGCCTAGGCTGTGGTCTGACAGGAGTAGCCCTCTCTATACTGCATCTGGCCAGCAGCCACCTCCCAGACTGGTCAGGGTTGGAAGGAGTCAGGGATGGGCTCAGCAGGCTGCAGCCAGGCCACCGAGATGTCTGTGGGCCTGGGAACTTGAGGTGAAGCCAGGACCCTGCACAGGGCACCAGAGAGCAGGCCCTTTGGGACTGCAGGGCTGTGGGAGGAGGGGTCCGACCAGATGTGGGGAGCCCACTGCACATGCCCTCCAGTCCACTTGTCCGGGCAGCATCTGGGCTAGGGGTGCATAGAAGAGGGAAGGGTCCAGGAGCAGCAGGCATGAGGGTCCATCAGTGCCAGGCCCAAGCCGCAGTTTTCTCTCATCTAGGTAGGTTGGAACTACCAGTGCAGCAGGCCTTCAGGCCTTTGAGCCAGCAGTCACCTTCAGTGACAGTGTAGGAAAGGGCAGGGAGAACAGGAGGCTGGCAACCCCTACTTTCTTGGGCCCACAGGGTCCCCCGGCAGGCACATGGGATGGGCCCCAGCCATGTCTGGGACACAAGGCAGTCTCGGGTGTCTCCCACTAGGCACAAGGTCTACACACGCAAGACGAAGCCTGTTTCTTTCTTCATGGACGTTACACTATTGGCGAACTTCTGGGGCTGCGATGACAAGCCTAGGACGTGAGGGCTGGCAGACCTGGGACCGGGCCGGGGGCGGGGGCAGGGTAACACCTTTAGCTCCGGGCCATCATGGCATCCCATGTGTGGCCTTGCACCCCTGCCTTCCCAGTGCTCATTCGAGGGCCCTGGGTCTCCCCACCACCAGGGCCCCGTCAGCCTTTCCATGGGCCCCAGGTGTTTAGGTCTTGCCCACTGTATCCTCCCTTCCTAAGCCTCAGTTTACCCTTTCAGAAGGCAAGGGGAACCCCCAGCTTCGAGAGCCATCTTGGCCATAACCCCTGTGCCACACCCAAAGCAGGATGTGCCAGGCCCCTGTGAAAAGGTGGCTGCCACCTCGGGGTCCCTCCCATCCTCCTGTCCTGCTGCCCTGCTGCCCTCCCTGAAGAGCCACTGCCCTGACAGCTCCTGACAGCTCAGTGCCAGGAAAGGGCTGCCACTGGGGACTGGCACCAGGTGTGGGCATAAGCTGGGCCCCTGCTGCCACCCACAGGTACCATCATACCATCCCTGTCACTGGCCTGTACAGCCTGAGGGAGAGCCTGGCACTCATGGTGGAGGAGGTGAGTGGAGGGCAGGTGTGGCACACACGAGGACCAGAGGCCTTCTGCTACCCACTGCCCCAGAGGGGGGCCCGGGACGGGATAGACTTGAGAGCACTTCCCAAGAGGGCCCACGGGCGATGGCCGGGCTCACTGTGTGCCAAGGGTGTAGCCAGCTGGGAGCACAGGGCCAGGGCCAGAAGGAACAGGCAGGGGTGGAGGAACAAGGCGGGCACAACTCACAGGGAACCTGAGCTGCTGGGGAGAGGGAGCCAGGCACCGTCTGACAGGTACCAACATCAGGGCAACAGGGCTGGAAGAACTGGCTGGTGAGACCTGGGCAGACCACAGTCACTGCTCTTTGGGTGAGGGCCTCTGGCCTCATCATGATAGGACATGCCTGGGTGTCACAGAGCCGGTGCGGGGTCAGCATGGATGTCCAGCTTGCTTTCAACAGGTGTCTCACACAGTAGACGTTGGCCAGCGCCTCCTACTGCCGCCTCCCAAGCCTGCTGCTCCTCAGGAGTGCCCAGACGTGTACATGACGGGATGGGTCACTCCTGGAGCATGTGTGGCTTCCTGGGTGGCAGGGCCTGGCAGAGGAAGCTGGGTGTGACCAGGCTGGTGGCTTTGTTGAGGGCTGAATCACTGTCAGCACAGAGGGCCACATGTGGTCGTGGGCCACTGGCTCTTCAGGTCACAAGAGGGAAAGAAGCCAAAACACGGCCCACTTTCCTCTGGGTCCTGACGTCCCAAGAAGGGCCCTTGACAGCCATTGGCCCAGAGGCTAGGAAGAACCTGGAAGGGGCCCTGGCTGTTGTCACTGTTTCCCTCCTATGTCCCCGCTTCAAGATGCTGCACAAAGCAGGGAGAGATGAGGTGTCAGTGCCCTGGCTGTCACCCACACCGTGCATTTGTCCCTGAGGGCCAAGGGCTGGAATATACCAGGAAAGGAAGAGGCCAGAAGGCAAGGGTCATGAGGAGGTGCAGGCCCTGCAGTCTTCAGCAGATTCTGACAGTAGGGTTCATTGCCCTGAAAGGCAGGAGTAACCAGTGGGCAGCAGCCACTGATTGGAAAGGAGAGGCCATGGGCCAGGGCCAGAGGGAACAAGCAGGGGTGGAGGAACAAGGTGGGCAAGGTGGAGGGGCTGGGGTTGGCAGGGTCGGGGAGGAGGAGCTCCTCAACGCTGTGGGAGCCAGGGCTGGAAAGACCACCCTGGTGGGAAGAGCAAGCCTGCCCTGACCACTCCCGGCCCTCCCTAGGCTCTGCCTCCTGCAGTGTCCTGACCTTCTGCAGGCTGTGCCTGCCTCCCTCTCACTGCTGGACCCACACTGTGCCCCCACCCTAGGCAGGGTAGCTCCAGGCCTGCCATGGCCCGAATGTGGTCTCCCATGGCCTGCAGCTGCCTCAGTCAGACCACTTGACATCCCCTCTCCCCACAGGGCTTGGAGGTTAGCTGGCGGCGGCACCATGAGGCCATGGCATACCTGCACGGGCGTCTGCAGGGCCTGGGCCTGCAGCTCTTCGTGAGAGACCCGGTGAGGAGGGTGAGGTGCTGGGGGATAGGTCCACACCATGACAATGGCAGGGATGGATGGAACTCCTGGCCAGAGCCACCCACAGGACTAAGTACCAATATGGTGGCCATGTGTCCTGAAGAGGAGTAACCTACCCCAGGATGGGACTGGAAGCCTTTAGGTACACCCTCCAGCACCCCATCCTGGAGCTGTGTGGCTATCCCATTCTTCATGGCAGTCAGGCTGGGCCGGTGGCCTGGGTGACAGCCACCGTGAAGGACAGGCAGGGCATGTGCCCTCTGTGGCTGAGCAGCTCGCTTCCCACAGGCCACGCGTCTGCCCACAGTCACTACAGTGGTCGTACCCTCTGGCTACAACTGGAGGGATATCGTGGACTACATCATGGACTCCTTCAGCATTGAGATCATGGGTGGCCTGGGCCCTTCTGCAGGGAAGGTGAGGGGCCCTGTGCTGCAGGGCCCTGAGGCCTGGGCACCAACTCCCTCCCTCTCTGAGGCCCATGAGTCCCATCCACAAGTGGGCATTGAGGGCCAGGACAGCAGGGCTGCCCTGGGGAACAGCCCTCCCCAAGAGCCTTTCCCACACCCTTGGGACATCCTTCCTCCCAAGCCCATGGGCTCTGGGAAACCTCAGGCCTGCGTCCAGCAGACTCTGCCAGGCCAGCCACACTGAGGGACCTTCAGTGACCACCGTGCCGGCCCCTTTTCCAGCCCTGCGCCACAGGGGTGGGGGTGTGGCTCTGGTCCGGGCTCCTGGCTCCCCAACACCTGCCCGCCTGCACCCACCAGGTGCTGCGGATCGGCCTGCTGGGCTGCAATGCCAGCCGGGAGAACGTGGACCGCCTGACTGAAGCCCTGAAGGAGGCTCTGCAGCACTGCTCCCGCAACAGGCTGTGATGCTGCCCTGAGCCTCCCGGCCCGGGGTACGGAGGTGCCAGCAGGCCACATGACCCCGGGCCTGAGGCCAGGAGAGCTGTACGTGACCTTTCTTCCCCCAGCAGGATCCCTGGAGGAGGATTCACTGTGCTTTCCGCAGAGCTGCTGTCCCTGTGGCCACTGACCTCCGAGAGTGTTCAATAAAGCACTGGCCACGTCTCTGCTACGGTGCAGCCTGACAGGGCACTCCTCTGCCCTTGGCCCCCCGGTCTGGCTAGAGGGAGGCCGTGTCCCAGAGCCTGTGGGCAGATCCTCTGGGCTGAGGCTGGGGCTGTCGCCCACCCTCCCCAGATGTCAACTCCTGACATACCCTCATGGGGGACCTCATGTGAGCCCCCAGGACTCACACTCACATAGGCAAGGCCTTTAGCACTCAGCTGTGAGGATCACTGGTCTCAGGGTGGTCCATTGTACCTGGGGAGAAACGGCAGCAGGAATGAGGAAAAGATAGACGAGAAGATAAGAGCTGGGTTAGGTGGTAGCCCATTTGCCTGGTCAGCAAGACGACCCCCTGAACAACAGTATGGGTGCTTATTTAGATCTTTGCAGTTAGTGATATGTGACTCAAGGTTGCCTCGGACTAGCAGCCGACATTCACTAGTCAGGATGTTTATCTGAGGACTGAGTAACTTGGCTGCTTTAGGCACTGAGGCCTCGTCGGCTCTCACACATTTGACCGGTTTCCATTTCCATGGCTCCCAACACTCAGCCAGGCCTCTGACCCCACCTTCACTGCTGGGAAGTTGCTGAGCAGTCCCATGCTCCAGCCAGGAACCCAGGTCCTCTGGTCCCCAGAACCCTCAGGAGGAAGGCAGAAACCCTCAGAAGAAGGCAGGACAAGACCCCAGTCAAGGCTAGTCACCTCTGAAGATGCGGCTTGGCCCGACTCTATCCCTGTCCCTAGTGAGGTAGGGGTTGGGCCCTGGGCAGACAGAGGCCACTGGTGGTGCTCACTGTGACCAGGAGACACAACCCTGAGGGCCACAAAGACAGCTGGGAGCTGGGCAAATGGCCAGGGTCTCTGCGGCAAGCCCTGCGGCCCGAGGGCACACCAGCCGCTTGCACTGAGGCTCACGCCTTCTCCAGAGGGGTGCTGTCCTCGGCTGGCCTCTGCCAGCAGATACAGAGGAGGGATGCAAGCCTGTCCCCTGCTGAGTGTTATCAGCTGGAAGTGCCCTTTGACCTCCATGTCTCCCAGTGCCGAGAGGCTAGGCAGTTCTTGTGTTGAGGGGCGGGCATCCCGGGGAGAGCCACCAGGGCTCTGACCCGCGGAGGACACCCCGCATGAGCTTCGTGGGTATACCGTGTGTTCTCTCTAGGTCTGGCTGCTCCCTGGGTGTCTTTGACTCCCAAGCCCACCATAGGGCTGGTTTGTCTTGTCGAGCATGACCCCAGCTGAGGTGGCATGCGTACAGAGGAGTCTATTGGGAACAGGGCTGTAAGGACTCGAGACCCAAGGCTTGCACGGTCTGGGTCTCAGTAATAATAGGGCACAGGACTTGGGGTCGAAGCATGGCTCCCTTTGCAGCCCTTGCCAAGAGCTGTGGTGCCTCCCTCCGCCACCCCTGCGGCTCCTTTGCTCCTCTGCCAGTCGGGTTCATTTCACCCTGGTGACATGTAAGCAGACCGCACGAGTGCTGCTGGCCCTTCCTGTGTCTTTTCTGTCCAGATTTTGCTCTGGTCTGGCTCACTAGTGACTAGTGAGCGAGCCGCTTCCTCTTTTCCAAGACCGGTGCCCTTACTTCTCTCTTCTCACCACCCTGCAGGCGAGGACCACAATGCAGTGCTGAGTCGAAGCAATGTGTGGGCTGCGTCTGCCAGAGGAGATGGGCACGATTTCCCAGTCAAGTTTCTCTAGCATAGAGACTGTTTTCCTTCCCCTCAAGTTTTATGGCACTGGGAATTGAACTCAGGGCCTTGGCTTACCAGACAGGCACTTGTGCCACTGAGCCGTATCCCTTCCTTCAAGTGTTTGATAAAAGCCTAGGAGGTTTTTGACAGAAACAATTATTTAAAGCCAGATGTGCTGGTGCACACCTGTGATCCCAACACTCTGGAGGTTGAGGCAGCGTGATCACAGCAAGTTCAAGACCAGCCTGAGTTTTATATTGAGTTCAAGGTCAGCCTGGACTATAAAGCAAGAACCTGTTTCAAAAGCTTTTTAAAAATTAAAAAGCAGGCCAGCCAAATAGCTCAGCCAATTAAAGTGCCTGTAAGCAGGCTCAGGGCCTGGGGGTTCAATCCCGGGGCCTGCTGTGCCTGCCCCGCCCCCAGGGCGCACTGAATTGGCAATTGAGACTGGGTGTGGTGGCGTGGGCCTGTAATCCCAGCTCTTGGGAGGCTGTAAACAGGCGGATCACTACGAGTCCGATCTAGTAGTGAGCCCCTGAACACCCTGTAGACCCTTCCTTATAAATAAATAAATAAATAAATAAATAAATAAATAAAATTAAAATGAAGCAAGGATTTTTTTCTGAGTCCACAAGTTTTAATAGGCGTGTCTTTCACCTTCTTCTTGTGTTTTTGTTTGTCACCCAGGGCACGCTCACTCTCCACGGAGGCTGTTAGTGCTGTGTGCCCCGCTCATGATGCCTGGCACTGCCCTCTCCATCCGGGCTCTCGGGCAGCTTTCTTCCACTCCCGTCACAGTGGCTTCTCCTCTGTCCTCCCCCTGACCAGGCGTGCCGGGGTGTGGCTCACTTCTCTCTATTACTTGCTCTCTCAAATCCCACTCTAATTTTATTATCCCCTTTAGTTGGTTTGTTTTGGTTTTGATTTGCTCCTTTTCAAGTTTCTTGTCTTTATAATTGATGTGTAATAACCATCCACATACAGGCTTTTAGCTCTAGCAGGGAAAGCTAACATAATTTATCCTTTTTTCTTTTTTTTTTTTTCACTGTGGGAGGGTGAATCTAGAGTCTTCACACTGAGCAACAGTTCTAGCCCTTTTAAAAAGTTTTATTCTGAGACAGGGCATAAGTCTTTCTGTCACTAAATTGTCCAGGCTGTCTTGAATTTGAGATCCTCCTGCCTCAGCCTCCCAGAGAGCTGGGATTGCAGTGATGAATCGCCATTCCCAGCTTTGTGATAACTAAATTTAAACTTCTTTCCTTTTCTAAATGAGTGTTTATACCTGAAAGATGTCCTCTGAGCACTGCCTTTGCTATATCTCCTGAGTTTCGATAGGTGGCATTTTTATCCCTCTAGGAAAAATATTTCATTGTTTGCTTGTGGGTTCTTTTCTGAACCATGGATTATTTAGACTTGTGTTGTTTTCAAATCTCTGGGGGACAGTCTAAATATCTTAGTGTTTCTAATTTCTAATCTGTGTCTATGGAGGTCAGAAATCACATTGTAGATGCGCTCGGCTCTGGGTGAAAGTGCTGGGACCCAGCTTTGTAGGCAGTGCCATCCTGCCGCTCGCCCTGCGGCCTTTGCCACAAGGCACCTCTTCTTGGCCGAGGCAGGACTAGGCGGACAGTGTCCCTATCTTTTCCCAACTGGGACTGCTTCTCCTTGAACTCTGGCCACGGCCCCTGAGCTACATGGCTCACACGTGGAGAGGCTCTGTCTCACATGTGGAGCAGCTTTGGTTTCCATGACAATCTCCAGGCATGTCCTCACCCACCACTCATCTGCACGCATGACTGTGGGGGACAGTTTCTGTGCACAGGACCCCCGAGCAGCTCTGTCTCGTATGAAGGACAGGGTGGGCGCACCAGAGTGAGCCGCTGCAGGCTGGATGTAGCTCGCCTCCTCCCTGGTCCTCATGAAGCCCCAAGGCCATGTGTATGTGCTGAGCATGTGGCACAGTCATCACTGGGGACGACCAGGAGGCCCCAGCTACCCTTCTCCTAACTGAATGCCCCACATGCTGGCCTGATCCCAGTGGTTCCTGCCCATGGCCCCAGGTTTGGAGGCTGCACTGCACTGCCCCCCTTGAATGCACCCCTCGAAACACTTAATCATAGGGGCAGCAGAGGACATGGTACTGGGTCACAGCCAGGGATCTGCCCTACAAAGCCTGATACTTGCTGATGCTGCTTTCTGGACACAACCTCACACCTGCCAGGGACCATACTCCTCGGGCCTCGGCACCAGGCAGGGCTTTGACCGGGCTGCACCAGTGCATGGGTTCTTTGTGGGCATGACTGGCACCATGATTGCATCTCCCATGGCCCTGATCAGACCCAGAAGCCTCAGGCCAACTCACGGAGGACCCCTGTTGACCCCAAATTGACTGGGAGCTCAAAGGGAAATGCATGCACGTCCCAGGCACAGCAGCCACGGTGCTCCAGACTGGGGCCTGTGTGGGTGGGAAGGTCTCAGCAGGAGCAGGCACTGAAAGCCTGAGGCTTCTGCTGCCAACAGACACTGCAGACAGCGGGAGGCAGCTCCTATGCCCAGAGGAGTCAAGGATGGGCAGAATTAAAACCTACCAGTTACTGACACCAGCTAGGTAATGAATGCACTGCAGAAGGCCAAGAGGAAGAGACCCGGGCTATGCTACGGGAGCAGGAAGTAAGCGCGGGTCAGATGGCCTGGGCCCTGGGCCCCCAGCACAGAGAGGACTCTTGCTGGGCCTTGTACTTCCACTGCTCACTTACTTTTGCTGTGGGTTTCTTCTGCTCCTCTTCTCTGAAAGTCCTGAGAGAGTGAACCTGGGATCCCTGCACACAGTGGTGATAGGGAAAGCCCCGCTGTCCAGTGTCACCCACACAGGGCTCAGCTAGTGCTCAGGTGTGGCTCACCTGTGTCCTCCACAGTCACCTGGCTTTTGCTGGTCCTTCCTGGTGAGCCTATCTTGGGTAGGGACATGTGGCTCCACCCTATACCAAGTGCCTTAGTCTGGGTCCTTCCGACTGTGGCGTCTACCTCTGTCTCTTTCTGGACAGGGCCACCCCAACTCATACACAGCACTCACGGGCACCAGCCTCTGGGCCCACACAGAGCAGGTGTGGGCCTGACCCTGCCCTCCGCATGCCTCCTCACGAAGGGCGCGATGCTGTTTTGTGCCCCTTGTGGGTGTCGGCTCTGGCCTGGGACTCTTGCTTTTGTCATGTAGCTCCTGTCACACATGGCCATCAGCCCTGAGAACATGAGTAGGGGACCGTGTGGCCATGCTGGCCATGGGAGCCCAGGGCTGGCCGTGGCCTAGACGCCAAAGGGTAAACAGAATGGAAAAGGCAGGGACCCTGGGCTGGGGCAGGGGCAGGAGGCGCCTCGCTGGGGGTGGGGGTGAGAGGGCAGCAGAGCAGACGGGGGGTCACGTCTGACACCAGGAGAGCACACCCAGCCTCCCAGGGGCATGTCTGCCATGGCAAGTGGAAATGGCAGGGCCGGAGGGGCAGATGGCTCAGGGCTGGCCGCAGGAGCCATGGGAGACTCCTCTTCTGGTTTTGGCCCCTCTGAAAACCAGGAATTGGGGGCCCCTAGGCAGGGGTCATTCTCAGCATACAGGAGGTTGAAACTGGCCCATGATATCAGCCTCCCACTGGAGGTCTCCATGCTTCTTCTTTTTTTTTTTTTTTTAATTATTTATTTGTGTGTGTGTGTGTGTGTGTGTGTGTGTGTGTGTGTGTGTAGCCAGCTCAGCCCACCAGGGGGCAGGGCTGGCTGGCATGTGATGCTGGGGGATTGAACCGTGGTCCCTATGCTTTGCTAAGCTTGTTCTAAGTAGGTGCTTTAGACCACTGAGCCATCTCACCAGCCCATCCATGCTTCTTCTTGGAGACACAGCACAGGGCCTCTCCCTTTGTGCAGGAGACGTTAGCTTGTTCAGGGGCCAACAGCCAACATTTAATCACTAGGGAACGGCCTTGCACAGGCCAGGCGAGCGCTGGTCCCCGAAGACTCAGTTTCCCTGCCAGTATCTCACAGGGGGCCACTCAGCTCCTGGGAAGCCCACAGCTGGGAGCTATGGCCACTGCCCCTGAGGCTTCCACTGCCCAGGACACTCAGATCGTCCCCATGGTCCCCTGAGGGCACCCCAGGCCCAGCTATTCGCCCACGTCCAGGAGAAGCCCACCCTCCACACTCAGCCATCCACACTGTCCAGGACCCGGGTCTTCCGGAAGATGCTCTGCATGGCTGCAACACGATTCTCATCCTTAATGGTAAAGACCTGGAACTGCAGGAAGGAGGGCGAGGTCATGGGCATTGGCCACACAGGTCCTCCCCATGTCTAGGCTCCTGCCTGGGGGCCATGGCCTGGGTCGCACAGCGGAGCCTGCTATGGTTGGGATCTGAAACATTCCTTTTGGGAAGGCGATGGGAGCCTGGACGTTCAGCTGCCTTGCTCCTGGGAGCCAGGCCTGGTGGGAAGTAAGGTCATAAAGCATGGCCAGGGTTCGTCTCCATCCCCTCCTCCCCTCTCTGCTTCTTGACTGCCGTGACACGAGCAGCTTCCTCCATCCAGGCCCTTCCTGCCTTGATGTCCACTGGTAATGGGTGAATGGGAGCCAAAGTGGGCTCTGTGGGGTGAGGGGCAGCTAGCCAAGCGGTCAGCATTCCTGGAAAGCAGGCCCAAGGACACGAGGTCTTGGGACACATGGGTGAGTGAAAATGGGCCCCAGGAAGCCCAGAAAGGCTGCATCCCATGAGGAATGGGCCCAAGCGAGCTGGGGCCCTACATTCACCATGTGAAGGCCTGGGGGTAGCGCATGCTGCCCTGGTTCCCAGAGAGCAGCCCCGGACCAGGGGCCACTCCACACCTGCTGACCCCCGCCTCCAAGCTGTCCTTCTGCTCAGTCCCTGCCTTGTGCAACCCTGGGTAGGTGTGACCTCTGGTCAGCTGCCCACCTTGTCTAAAAGAACATCGAAGTAGGCGGTGGTCCAGTAGGCAGGGTCACTGGCTGGCAGCTGCAGGAGCGCCTTGATCCCGTGGCCCACGCGTGGAGGGGCGCTGCGTCCCAGGTGGGTGGCGTGGATGCGCAGGGCAGCCTCTGGCTGGCGGGCAAAGCCCTCTGCATGCTGGTAGATGGCGTTGAGGTCCAGCCCACCACCCTGCAGCAGGTCACGCCCCACGTAGAGGAAGGGCGGCAGTGTCCTGGAGGCCAGGCAGCTGAGCAGCACCACCAGCACTCTGTACACAGCGCCCTGCAGCTCTGCCCAGTCCTCAGGTGCCGGGAAGAGTGCACAGGCCCATAGCAGTGCAGTCTGCAGAGGGGGGGCAGCACTGGGCCTGGTGTGTATCCCATCCCCGTGCCTCCTACCTTCATCTGAGCCTGGGCCAGGCCCCGCCCCACCCTCTACCCCCCGCCTAGCAACTCTGGGGCCCCCACCCCTCTGGTCCTTCATCCCCACAGGGTCCTTTCTTCCTCCTCTCACCCCTTACTGGACCTCAGATCCCTTCCATGGAGCTCCTACTCATCCTCTGTGTCCCTTTCAAAAGTGCTCATCCCCGTGGCACCAGGGCAGTGCACCCACGTGGCCTGGGGACAGGATTCTGGGCAGAGCCATGGCTGAGGACAGGTCAGGCCACCTCCTCTCAACACCTGGCAGGACAGGCCCCTCTGTCCATAGGGCACACACTAGGCAGGGGCCTGGCAGTGCCCCACGCCCACAGCCCTGCACCCCACTGCCTGCCAGGTCTGTGCCTGTGCCCTGGCTTTCCTGTGTTCATTACACCCTTGCGGGACCCATCATACCCTACCCAACATCCAGGCCAGGCTTGGCTCTATGCAGCCCACCCTGAGGTCTGACCCAACAGCATCCCCATGCCAGCAGGGCCTCAAAGGTCTCTGACCCAGGAAAGGACACACCTGGGGGCCTCGCCCTGGTGCCCAGGTCTTGGGTGCAGGCAGCCAAGACAGAGATGGGTGGCCACAGCCTTTCCTCACCTACCTTTAGGTGGTTGAAGCTCAGTCCAGGTTGCCGGCCACCGTCCCTCCAGTGCTCATGGTTGACCCGGTCGAGGAGGGAGAGGCTGTCCAGGCGGTGGCCCCGGAAGACACCCAGTTCCCCAAGCAGCCGGGTGAGCAGGTAGCCTGTGCAGGCCCTAGAAGCCAGAGCAGTAAGGTCTAGGCTCCTCACAGCCTGCAGGCCCTTCTTCCTGGGAGAAGTCTGCACCCTGCAGTGAGTGAGGGTAGGGCTGGGAGTTTCGGCTGTACTGGGGCTTCCAGGGAGACTGATAGCTCTGAGGCCACCGGGGACATTAGCAGGCTCAGGCTCCCAGCTGTGCCTGCAGCTGTGGGCATTTCTCACCCGCTGAGCCTGCCAGGGCTGCACCTGCACTGCCATACCTGGCTGTCACCCGCCCCAGCGCTCAAGAGGTCACTCCTGATTATGTGCTCGGCCTTCTGTGGCAGGCAGGTGGGCACTCGGCAAGCCTGGCCACAGCCCTGCCCTGCAGCTGTGATGGGCGGAAGTCCCCTCAGAACTCCACAGAGCCACCAGAAGGGGCCCACGTGGCTTACAGGTGTCACCCCTTACAAAAGGAGCTGGGAGCAAAACCTGTGCCACTCAGGCTGCAGGCAGCTGGACAGTCACCTCGCCCATCACTTGCCTTCATCTGTGTCCAATCTAGATGGGGCTTGGTCCCTGGGGTCTCCAGGGGGCCCAGCCACTGCCCCCCCCCCAGCCACTGACAGAGATGCAGGTGACCCTCCTGAGACCATAGGCCCCAGAGGACAGTGATCAGGGACTCAAGGAGGCACCACCAGAGGCCAGGCCAGCAGGGCCATCTATAGCCAAGCAAGTTGGGGTACCCTGGGCATGGGGCACAGCCTTGAAAGGCAGCCCTAGAAGATGAGCAAGCCTCGCACCTGCCTTGGAATACCCTTGGCACACAGAGCCAACCTGTACTGGGCTAGGTGAAGAGGGTCCCACCCAGCCGCCCTCAGGTCCTGGCCCCCTGGGCCCCCATGGTCACTGCCTCACCCTGTCTAGGAGAGAACTCCACTGCAGCTGCCCACAGGCGCCTAGCATCCTGCTGGAGGAAGCCACAGGGACCTTGACTTCCCCTGAGGTACTGACCACTTTGAGTCACAGAGGCACTGGGCAGCAGTGGGCAGGGACCTGTGGGGGCTCTGCCTGGGGTGGGGAGACCTGGGGGCAGTCCCTTCTAGCTTATTCCCAGCACCCTGCATCCTAGGACAGGTATATAACATACCTCCAGTGCTGGGCACCGGCAGGCACCAAGTCCACCCCATGGCTGACAACCCTCTGCAGGGTGCCCTCAGGGAACCCGGGTGTGAGCCAAGTGCCATCCAGGCCGGGCACACCGCACTTCCTCCTCAGTGTGGGCACAATGTTGAAGCGGATCTTCCTCCAGCCACTGGACACTAGCAGGGACAGGTGGAGCTGTTCCTCCTGCAGGCTGGTGGCACTCAGCGAACCTATGAGGACTGCATCAGGCCAGTTGTCCCCAACCCTGGGCCTGCCTTGTCACTGCCAGGCCCCTCACCTGCAGCCTGCAGTGCCCCGTGGACCCCACTACCCCTGGGCCAACGCCAGCTGTGCAGTGCCATGACACTTCTGAGGGCAACGTTAAGCTTGGTGACTCCCTGGCACTGGATTGAGGCAGCTTCCCTCGGAGGGCCTCTTGGAGAGGGCCCTCACCGAGCCTGGGCCCTGCCTGCCAGCCACAGCTCCATGCCCAAGGCTGGCTGCCCACCAGACTCAGCCCCACTCACCAGCAGGTGGGGGGCCAGGGCAGCACCAAGGGTGAGCTCTGCAGAGAAGGCAGTGAACTCTGAGCCCCAAGCCTATAGCCCCTTGCTGCAAGATGAGGAAAGGGCTCTGCAGCTGCCCTCCCAGGCTCCTCAGCATTCAGGAAAGCTGTGGGTGCCTCATCTCCCATCCCGGGCCTGTGCACCCTCAGACATAGGGAATCTGCACTCAGACTCCTGGGAGGTGACCTGTGTGGACAGTGAGGACAGACAGATGCAACTGCCCCACCCTGGCCAGATGGCACAGAGCCCAGGCCAGGCCCCCTCATGTCCCAAGAGCTTCCTGCAGCTGGCGGGGTATGGGGACCACTTCGTCCTCACACTTCAAGGGAGGACTGTGCAGCAGAGGCCACTGGGAGCAGTGTGCAGAGACCCTGCTTCCAGGCTGCCCAGGGGCTCCAAAGTATGGAGGGCCCTGGGTCCTGTTCACACCCAGAGGTGCCCTGTATGCTGAACCCCATCTCCCCCACCCTTCTGTGCAGCATGGACTGCACCTTCTGGCTGAGAGCCTGCCTCCTGGCATGGCCCCATAGCCCTGACACAGAGGCCCAGACCCCCAGCAGGTATTGCTGGGTACTGCGTGCTCCATACAAAACAAATTGGTGCCAAGGGAGAAGGGCAAGTGACTCCAGGAGTGGAGATGCCCACACACAACCCTGCCTACCACTGCTGCATGGGACAAGGTGCCGGGGACAGGCAGAGACACAAGGCCATGGAGCAGGTGTGATCCCACAGAAGACCCCAGACACGAGCCCTGAGAGGACTCTGGGTGGGGTCAGTGTCCCCTCATCCCGCCTGGCCCTTTGGGATGGGCCCTCAGCATTGCCCCCCCGCAGGCTGCCCCCAGCCTCGGTTTCTCCACTAGTGACTACCCAGGCCCCTCTCTATCCAGTGTTTGTGGTACACTATCCACAGCCACCTTTGGTGGCTCTGTCTCCATGGGTCACATGTTCCCTCGTCTGTGAACTGGCAGCCTGGCAGCCTCACCACTCAAGCTGGTCACACCGGTTCCAGGGTGGGGACGGCCTGCTCCCCTGGCCGCATGCTGCCCTTTGTGAGCAAGTGTGGGGCAGTGGGGTGGAGTTTTCTGCATGCCCAGCACAACCATGGGGGGGCCACAGACCCAGATCTCTGTCTCCCAGCCAGGGACCTCTTGGGCATGTGAGGGTAACCTCCACTGTCCTAGAGCAGATGACAGGGCTAGGTCAGGAGGACAGAAGAAGTCCTGTGAAGCTCCTATGGTGATTAAGTGTGAGGCGACCAGACATGAGGGGCTGCAGGTACTCTGCAAGCAGACACCTGGTGACTGTAGTCACTGGCCTTGGTCCACAGCACAGGACACCTCCAGGCAAGGCTGTGAGGACCCCCCCCCCATGGCTTGCAGTCTGTCAGAAGCCCCAGGCATTCTGCTCCCACACCCAACCTACAGGAGAGGCCTGTACGGTAGCCAGGCCAGGCCCGGGTGCTGGTGACCCTCACAGAGGAGCTGACCACCCCGTGTCTGAGCCCTGCTGAGGGAAACTGGCTGCCCTGGACCCAACAGGGGACTGCCTACCCTGGCACAGTCCCCCATCAGCCAACAGAACTCCAGGCAGAGACAGAGTCCAGTGCTCTGTGCTCAGGAGGTACCTAGCCCAGGGCTGTGTGGGCTCAGAGACCCAGCCAGCAGCTGAGCCACAGCCGGGACTGGTGGAATCCCGCGAGAACCCAGACAGCTCTGCCCAAGTGCACACTGGTGGGTCCAAGAGGGAGGGCCCACGGCCTGCTGTGGTGTGTCAGAGGCTGCAGGAGGGGTTGGCTCTGAGCATGGTCACAACAAGCTGTGACCAACACCAGAGCCAGTGGCCCAGAACCAGGCTAGGGACCCTTGAGGATCCAGTCAACCAGCAAAGCAACACGTGATCACATTCACAGCCGCCGAAACAGTAATGTCCTGAAAACACGTTCTCCAGAACGCTGGATGAAAGCTGCACAGGAGGCGCACCCCACTCACTCCCTCGAGGGGCCCCTGGCTAGGACAGAGCAGAGTCTGCCCCCACACACACTGACGACGCACAGGCACACACTCTGCACACGCAGATGGCAGCCTGCACACAGCACGCACACAGAGGGCACATCTGCACAGAGCGTGCGTGGCACACCCGGCTGGCCGATGGCCTGGGCTGCTACCTGGTGCGATGAGGCCATGGTGCTTGCAGTGCACAATGGCGGCCACCAGCAGGTCCTTGAGGACACACAGGACCTTGCTGGGCTCTATGTAGCCACAGCACTTGGTACCACCCTCTGAGGAGGCACTGAAGACATCCCCAGTCATCCAGGACTCCAGGCCAGTCGCCCCCCAGGGGATGCCCAGGCGGCAGAGCATGGGGCCATCCCCCAGCTCCGAGGGCCCCTGCTCCTCGATCAGGAGTGCACTGGCATCCACCTGCAGTGGCACTTGCATGTCCAGCGGGTCTTCTGAGGAGCGAAGGGCGAACTGGAAGGCCTCGAGGTGGTGGGAGTAGTCCACAAGGAAGCGGGGGTCCAGGGTGTGCACGCGCTCTAGCACGGTGAGCAGGACGTCCTCGGCAAGCTGGAAGTCCTGCACCCGGGACACCTCCCGAGACCGGATGGCCTGCAGGTAGTGGTGCCAGAGGGGCACCTTCACAGCCATGGCTGGACAGACCTGGGGCTGCTCTGCCAGCCGGCAGCGGGCCTGGAGGGCGGAGGGAAGGTGCAGGCCGGGAGGAGCAGCAGGTCCTCAGGTGGGGCGCAGCTCCAGCCAGAATTCCAAAGCGACAGCACTGGGTGCAGGTTAAATAACTGAAGGGCAGCCAAAGCTTTGAAGTGGGTGAGTCAGTCCCCAGCGATTAGGAATGTCCCAGGGGCTGTGCAGGGGCTGGGCCCAGTTGCACCCTCCCCTTCCTCCTCCAGACTGACGCCCTGTCCCAGGCTGTAGCACCAGTACAGACACAGCCTGCGTATCCTGAGGTTCCTCCCCAGTCCCATCCCAGTAGCCATGGTGAGGTTTCTGGAAATAAGACCTCTCTTGCCCAGCCTCTCTGCCAGGCTGGTAGGAACACAGCATGGCTTCCGGCCCCGTGTGGGGTTGCGGCCTCTCTACAGCCTGGAAAGCAGCAGTCACTCCCTGCCCTCAGACACCTGCTACAGCAGAAAGGCAGAAGCCTGGAAGGGTGCGCAAGCCCTGCCTCTGCAGCTGTTGTCTACCTACCTGGCCCAGGAGCTGCAGCCCTGTTTCAGGTGCTAGCAGGAGCTTGGCCTTGCATGGTGGGGTTGTCTGATGGCCCTGAATGCTACTCTGATTGTTCTCACGAGAGGCAGGGGACAGACACCCCTGGGGGTCCTTGTAAGGACAGAGGCAGACAGAGAGGTGCTACCAAGAATGGGGACCCCTCCCTGCAGCCACTAGGATCTGAAGAGGGCCGAGCGTGGGCAGCCAGCTTGTCCCGGTGCTTAGAAACCTTCAGGAGCTGTGGTCCCAGCCCCACACCTCCAGGACAAGCACAGGCTCCCTAGGACTGTCCGCTGGAGTTGCCTGGAGCAGCAGTGCAGTCATGGTCCCCATCTCCATGGTATTCTGCAAGGGAATAGATGGGCCTTGTACCCAGCCTGACCTTCAGGCCCTGCTGGCAGCCTGGGCTGTGCCATCAGGGCTTCAGTGGTGTCTACAGCTCTCCCAGCCTCACTCCCCATGCCCAGAACTCAGCCAACCCTGCCCTCAAACTCCCTGAGCTCTGATACCTGAGGAAGGTGGTGCCTGATCCTCACCCCCAGGCCCTGGGGCATGGGTGCCTACCCTCCCAGACTGGGGGACATGAGTCCTCCCAGATTTCAGCTCCTGTCAGAGCTCCCAATGGGCCTTGCCTCCACTGGCTGGGGACGGTGCCACCCTCAGCCCCCGTGGCTGGACCAAGTCAGCTGCCCTGGGGTGTCCTGGAGCCAGTGCCCGTGCCCAGCATGGATGACACCGGGAAACAAGGGCAAGCAGAGTCCCCTGAGGAGCTGGACCCAGGCTCTGTCTGCACCTGCAGGGACACAGCAGGGAGACCACAGGGAGCACAGGGAACAGGGCTGCAGCAAGGAACACAGCACTGTCCTGGATGCTACACAGAGCTGGTATGAAGGAGCCACACGCCAGAGGTGGAAGGTGCAGCATGGCCAGCACCTCACACAGCACACAGGTCCTTAGCGACACAGGCAGCCTGCGGGCCATGCCCAGGTCCCCAGAAGGCCAAGACAGAGACATTGGTGGCTGGGCCCCTCAGGAGCCTACTAACCTCAGTGGCTCCCCATTCTTGGTAGCACCTCTCTGTCTGCCTCTGTCCTTACAAGGACCCCCAGGGGTGTCTGTCCCCTGCCTCTCGTGAGAACAATCAGAGTAGCATTCAGGGCCATCAGACAACCCCACCATGCCTGCCACTGTCTTCACTCTGCATCGCAAGCACTGCTCACAGGGGCTGGGCACCAGGAAGTAGGCTGTACTTGGGCAGCTGCCATGGGCACCCTCACACTGCATGGGGGGAGGGCCTCTGTGGTGCTGTTCTCGGCCCTGCACTCATGAGCTGTGCCCTGCCACCTGACTAGGCCACTTCAGCTGGTCTCCAGGGTCACCCTGGGAAGCAAATGTGACCAAGACCAGCTGTACCAGCAGACAGATCCTGGTTGTGCCCTGGTCTGCTTGGGTGCACACCAGCCAATAATGACGGGGCCGGGAGAGCCTCCTCAGTGGTGGGGCACCCTTCTCTCCACGTGACATTTCTCTTCCAGGGCAGCTGGGCTGCAGGGAAGATGCAGAAAGGCAGCCCCAAGAATGCTGTGGCCCAAACAAGTCACTGCCCAAGTCTCAGACAGAATCAAGAAAGCTGTGTGGCATGGGCCTCAGGCTGCCTCCATACCCCAGCAGAGCCAGGCAGATGCCAGCCATCCCAGCCAGCAGACATATGACTGTTCTGAGGACAACAGTGTTCTGCAGTATAGTGGCCAGGGTCTGAGATGGAGGGCAGGATCACCGCACTGGGTGGGGCAGGAGGAGCTGAAGTCACTCGGAGTCTCAGTTGGCTTGCAGGGACAGTCGCAAGCTTGCTTGTTCATTGGAACCCCAGCCTGGGGCGTGGGCTCAGTATCCCCAGAAGGAGAAGCAGAGGGAGACAACAGGCTTGCCAGTGACTGGTACTCCCAGGTGGTGACCTTATTGCTGGCCCATGCGTGACATGTGCCCAGGGTGTGTGTGAGAATGCCAGAGCTTCATGGGCCCCATCACCTGTCTGTGGGTTTGGGGTGAATTCCCACAGGAGGGACAGAGCTGGGCAGGTTCAGGGGACCGACGGCCCTGCACAACTGAGTCATCAGGACAGGGACTGGTGCACAGGGCAGCACTGGCTGCATCAGGCAGCTGAGGGGGGCCTGAGCAGGGGTCTCCGCCCCCACGGGGCCACCTCTCTGGGGAAGCCAGACATCCACAGCCACCCAGGAAGGCCACTCCAGGGGAGGTGAGAATGCAGCTGGCAAGTTAAACCTCAGGGTAGGGGCAGGACAAGACCCCTTGGTCCAAGCTGGCCCAGATCCCATAGTTACCTCCCCAGACCTCTCCAACCAGGGCTTTGACTAGACCCTTGGCCAGGCTGGGCAAGGCCAGAGGAGTGGTGTCTGGCTTGGGGGAGGGGCCAGATTTTGCTTCTCTTGTCACAGTCCACAGCACATAGGCTGCTTTTCCCGCTGGCTACTGTGACTGAGGCTGCTGTGAACATGAGCTCATGAACCCATCCACGCCTCTCTGCTCCCTGCTCTTCAGGTCACACGCCCAGGAGCAGCCGGTGCGCGGTGTTTGGCTCTGGAGGGACTGCCTGCCTTACCGTGTGTGAGCTCCCGACCCGGCAGGCTCCTGGTTTCTGCATGTCCTCGCCAGCACTCGTTCTGCATTTTCTTGGTAACGCCGCCCAGCGGTGTGGAGGGGTACTGCGTTGCAGGTCCCCACTTCCCTAAAGCTTAGGGACACCAAGCACACTTCCACGGCTTACTGCTGTCTGTGTATCTTCTTTGCAAGAATGCCTGTTCACCTTCTTCACTTGCTTTTTACTTGGGTTGTTTGGTTCCTGTGGAGCTGCGTGCCGTATATATTCTGGATCTTACCCCTATGCCCAAAGATGATTTGCAAGTATTTCCCTGTAGAATATTCTGGGTTTGGTCAGGTGTAGTGGCACCGGCCTGTAATCCCAGCACTCAGGAGGTTGAGGCAGGAAGATCACTGTGAGTTGAAGCCCACCCAGCACTACATAGTGAGAACCTGCCTCAAAAACAAAAACAATTTAAAAAAAATAATAATACTTTGGGGCCAGCCAGATAGCCCAGTGGATTAAAGCACGTGATCCCTGCATGCCCTGCTGGCCCTCCCCCCGGAGCACACTGAGCTGGTGATTGAGACTGGGCATGGTGGTGCTCACCTGTAATCCCAGGGCTTGGAAGGCTGAAAAGGCAGGATAACTAGGAGTCGGATCTATGCAGTGAGATCCTGGAGACCCTGTACTAAATACGTTAAAAAAAAAAAATACTTTGTCTGCCAGGTATAGTGATGCATGGCTGTAATCCCAGCACTTGGGAGGCTGAGGCAGGTGGATTGCCGCAAGGTTGAGGCCAGCCTGGGCTATAGTTAGTTCAGGGTCATCCTGAACTATACAGCAAGACTGTCTCAAAAACAAAAACAAAAAAGCCTCTTTTTCTTAAACTTTATTTAATACTTCAATGCACTAAATTGCAATAAAGTTGAATTTATCTATTTTTTCCTTTTGTTGTCTGTACTTCTAGCTCATGTCTAAGAAATCAAGGTCAAGTCCAATGTCACCAGGCTTTTAGCTGTGCTTTCTTCTAGGAGCTCCACACTTTAGCTCTCAGGGTTAGATCCTCGGGCAGACGCCTTGACCTCGACCCATCCCTTCCTTCCCTGTCTGACTCCTCCAGAGCAGGTACCAGAGCTCAGGGTCCCAAGCCACCTGAGTCCCCAGGACCATTGCTCCACAGTGGCTTCCCATGGGACAGGTGATGAGGGCTGAAGCTTTCCCCTCCCCCAGTGGCTTCCCAGGACTGTAGGGGGCTGGATCCCCAAGCCCAGCACGCGTGCCAGCCGCCTCTCCTTGTGGCAGCGGCTGGACCACAGATGCCATAATTTGCCGCCCCAAACCCAAATCCCCAGGGAGGAGAAGGCACCACAGAAGCCTGCAAAACACTCTGCGCTTTCCATGAGAGGACCACGTACTGGCCTTGCTCCACTCAGCCAGCCTCCCTTCCACACATCCTCCCGTCTTCTCTCAGCAGCATGGAGTGAGGAGGTCGCCTGGCCTTCTGTGCACAGGGCACAGTGGCTCAGCTCATGCAGAGGGCACTTCTCGGCAAGAGGCAGAGCTCATAAATGCATGTGGCGCCCCGGTGGCAGGCTCTGTGGTTTAGAGCTGCCTGTCTGGCCATAATCACACTGGAATCTGTTTCCTGCCACCATCTCTGCTTTTCCAGTGACTGTGCCCCGGGGACACAGTCCGGGGTGGCAGCAGTGTCTCCTGAGGTTCAGCTGACCTGGTCAGGGCCCCCTCATTGGCTCTGTCCGAGGCAGGTCATGCAGGTGCAGGACAGGAAGTGGGCAGCATGCTGTGTCAGAGAGCCCTGGGCAGGACCTCAGCACTGCCAGCTCCTCTCTGGCACCAAGCTGACCTCCCGCTGCAGCCTCCCCTCCTGCACAGGAGTGCACACAGAGCTCGGCCCGCCCCGTGGTTGTAGGTCACAGGCAGAAGTTCTGGTCTGAAGTCCAGCAGGAGTTGAACACCCCCACCCAATCCCAGAGGATGGTCGGGGCAGTGGGTTCCTGGACTTCCAGACAATCTAGAAAGCAGTGGGCAAGGCAGCAACCTGGCACCAACTTGGGTGTCACGGATGGGCATGTGGGACGCAGCGGAGCAGCCCTGCTGCCAGGCCCCTCCCGGAAGCCCTTCTGCTCCATGCCCAGGAATGGCTGAGGACAGGAATGTCCAGCCCTGCCTTTGGTCTCCCCCCCAGACACCTCGGAGGCCTCATGAACTTGCAAAGCCTGAGCTCAGGCCCCCACCAGCACCAGCACACATGAGCAGCAGTGGCAGGCTGAGCCAGTGGACCTCACCTTTGCTCAAGACAGGACTCCAGCTCAGCAAATGGCTTCTTTGGGAGGGAAATCTCTTCCCCCGGGTACTGGGGATTGAACCCATGGCTTTTGCACTGAGCTGTTACCGTTATTTTCAGTCCTTCTGTTTCTGCTCCTCAGAGTACTGGGATTACAAGAGTGAGCACTATGCCCAGCTGCGAATAAAGCCTTGCTCCAGCTGTCCAGGAGGCACTATGCATTGTCACCCCACCTCTACAACCCCCTCAAGCCCCTTCTACCTAAGGGAGCCATGTGAGATCCTCCTGCTTGCCCCCTGCCCCCTCAGGTGACAGAGCCAGGAGCTACCCAGGGCTGTGCCCCAGGTCTGAATCTAGAGCCAGCACTGAGGTGGAGCCTGGCCCTCCGTCCACCTTCACTGCAGTGACAGCCACAGGAGGAACACACACCAAGCCTTGGGAGAGCCCAGCACCCATCCCTGAGCAGTGAGATTGGACTGCTCAGGGCTTCCTAGCCCCACCTCCAGGGGCCCTATCCCCTAGTGGTCCCTCCTTGCCTGGCCCACCAAGCATATCCCTGCCCATTGGGCTGGCTGAGAAGCTAGGGGCCCCCTCCCCAGAGCGATGCACAGGACAAGCTGTGGTTCCTCCTTTACAAGAGGGACCCCGCCTGTGTTAAGCTGGTTCTGAAGACCCAACTAGGACTGAGGAGCTCCCATGGTGGGGAAAACTGGCACATTCACCTGGAGCTCAAGCCACGGAGCTCTGTATGCAGAGCCAGCCAGCCATAGGATGCAGGACTGCTGTGCCTTGCCCTCAGGATGTGTCCTCCCCACCCAGAAGCCCACCTCTTCTTCCCCTCTCCACCCTGACAGCTCACCCCTTGGGGTTCCTTGCATGGCGGGGAGGGGCTCTGGGAGCAGAGGTGGGGCAGACAGGACTCCTCAGTGCCTTGCTTGGGCAGGGGTGTCACATGTGTGGCCGTCCATCTCAGTTTAGGATTCTTTTTTGTTTGTTTGTTTGTTTGTTTGTTTGCTTATTTTGGTGCTGATGACCAAAACCAGGGCTTCCAGCTTGCTAGGCAAGTGTTCTGCCGCTGAGCCAAATCCCCAGCCCAAACAGTTTAGGATTCTTGACGAAGAAGAACCCAAGCTGGGTGGGCAGCAAGTGCTCTAGTCTCCCTAAACAAACAGGCGTGGGGAGAGTCCACCCCCAGGTGTGTCCTGCTGACCGCTTCTTTCCAAACTCCAGGGAAACCACTTCCCTCCACAAAGGCCCTTAGTCCCAGAAGAAGTACTCAACTCCTGTTTCCAGGGTAACACAGCCCTCAGGCTGGCGTCCCAGTTGCCACAGCAACAATACTGGCTTGGTTGGACATGCAGTTGGTTTCAGCACTTGAAGCGGGCAGCTGTGTGCCTGGGCTCAGGTCTCAGCACAGCAGGACAGGCCCCAAGCAGGTGTGAGACAGGGGCAAGGTAAGGGCCTGCACACAGTCCTGGCTGACCAGGCAGGCCAGGAGGAGACTTGCAGGGGAGCTGAGTCCACACTTCCACCGAGGCCCTGTGCTCCAGCCAGCCATGAGCTCTGACTGCAGTGAGTCAGGTGACCAGGACTTCTCCGAGCAGCCCCCCATGGGGCTGGCTGCCGCAGTACAGGTCAGTGAGGTGGCTGCCTCTGACGTCGCAGGCACCTTGGGCGCTGCACAGAGGGACTGGCTCCTCTGGGTTCAGGGGCACTTCCTGTCTGCTCACACAGCCCATGGAAGCACGCCTGCAAGGTGGAGGTGCTCAGGCACGTACGTGGGTACACATGCAGGCACACACACGGGCACACACATGGGCACACACATGGGCACACACACAGGCACACACATGGGCACACACATGGGCACACACATGGGCACACACACAGGCACACACATGGGCACACACATGGGCACACACACAGGCACACACATGGGCACACACACGGGCACACACATGGGCACACATACAAAGCACACCTGGAAAGCACTCTGCCTACTCTCTGGGCTCATCGTTGTCCTCCACAGCCTTTGCTTGGGTGTAGGCACTGGCTGGGCTTCCTGGACAGGGGCTGCCGTGGGGGGATCCCCAGTGCCCACTCCATCAGCTCCATTGTCTGTCTTTGTGGCACTCACTTGCAAAGCCACAACACAGGCCCAGGACAGCAGCAGGGCCCTCTTCCCTCACCTGGCTTCTGGATGCCACCGCTCCCTGCCAGCACATCCCCCACCCTGTGCCTGTCACCCGGTTCTAGCCACCAGAGCCTGGCACTTCCTACACCTTGGGGATCCCAGTTACCCCAGACAGACAGGTGACTCAGCTGGTTATCAGCTGGCCTCAGACCCTGGGGACCCACTGTGAGGGCTGCTGCAGCCCTAGATAAACACCGCCTGTACCCTGGAAGGAGTAATTGTCCAGAGGTGGCACCAGGTGGCTAAATGACATAGTCACCTCAGTGTGTACACACACACACACACACACACACACAGGCCCACGCAAGGGAAGAACTGGGAGAGGAGCCCTGGGTGAGGCTTTCACCCTCCGACTTCTCTAGGCTGGGTTCTAGGAAGGAGGTTGTTATAGCCTCAGTTTACCCTCAGCCCTGGGTCCTGGGTGGCCACCTGTAGCCCCTTCAGGCCTCTGGTGAACTCAGGCTCTGGGGTGAAAGCAGCAGCCTTGGAGGCCACTGAGAGACAGACTCAGAGCCACAGAGGTGCAAGACAGGGCGGCTGGGGCCTCTGTCTGCCCCAACGCCCACTGTCCCTGGTCATTGCCACCTGGAGTCTGGTGACTCTGGCTATTTGCATTGTTAGTGATTAAGATCTTGGTGCAATTACCCAGGTGAGCAGGTGGCATGGGCGCCTCCAGACACCCAGACAGGCCCATCAGGACTGGGGTCAGGATCACGCTTCCTGGCAACCACTGAGTGTCTTGTCTCTTGACCCCAACAACCCCAGATAAACGGAGCCAGACTGCGCTATCTGTGCCCGACTCCTTGCCCTGAGCATGATGTCCTCAGGGTCCGTCCATGCTGCTTGGGGGCCAGTATCTCCCTCCTTTTCAAGGCTGAATATATTCCATGGTACAGGCGGTGCTGACCAACACCACCATCCACAGGGTGCACACAAACCTGCTTGGGTCTCTGACTTCCTTTCAGGGTGTATACCCAGAAGCCACATGGCTGAATCACAGGAGTAATCCTACTTTCTGAGGCATCATCATCCTTGTTTTCCATGTTTGCTTTGTCCCTTTCTGATGCACACTCAGCAAGCTCTTTTGACTAACTGTTTCTGCCACCAAAGGTGTGGGTACTTCCTCACACTGACCCAGCATCCACCTCTCTGGGTGCCAGCAGGGTGCCCTGCAAACACATTCACTACCCGGAGTAAGTGCAGGCTCTGGGCGGAGGGCTCACCCCACATGGCACCCATGTCTCAAGCCAATCACCAGCTGCTGTGCATCAGGGTCCCCCACCCTTTCTCTGGGGCAGCAGCCAGCCAGGGCAGTTCACAGAAGCAGGCAGAGCCTTACTTTTCCCAGCAGGTGGAAGAGATGCCCAGGGCAAGGCTGGCAGGAGCTGGCACCCAGACCCAGAACCCAGGCTCTCCCTGCTGCCTCCCTGGGCTCCTGGGGGGTCCTCCTCATGCAGCACCACTGAGCCCGTCTCCTGCCATCACTGTCCAGCTCTCATGCTGCTCTCAGGTGGTCTGAGGGGCAAGGCAGAGGGTTCCAGTCCAGCTGTCACATTAGCACATAGTTCTGAGGGTGCAGGGCCACCAAGGAGCAGGCCCATGGAGACAGGAACCAGGAACGGCCAGCAAGGGGCCCAGTCATGGGCAACTTGCAAGTCCTGCATATCCAGGAGCTTTGGGACAGGACAGCCAAGGGCAAGTCTCCTGGGACTCCTGCTGGGACAGGTGGCCCTGCAGTCACCAATGATACCCCGTCCCTGCCACCACAGCCAACAGATCAGCCCCACATTCCCTGCTGGAACTTCCGAGGACCTTGCACCCACTCTGTCCTCTCCCTGTCTCTCCTCCTGGGCCCCTGCATACTTTGTCCTGGGCCTTGCTTCACTTGCACTGTTCCTGTACTTGTGTATGCGCACACGCGTGCGCACACACACATGTATAAACTCATACCTGCACCATCAGCTGTTAGGCTCTTTCAGTCTGCCTGCCACCTTCCCAGGCAGCCTGCTTGGGTACCAGGGCCAAAGGAGCAGACAAGACAGGTGGCATTCTCAACCTCCAAAATGTTCCTTGCCATGAGTAGCTTTGTACTTCGTGGTTCACGTCTTTGGTAAGCCCAGCTGGGTTTCCTGCCAATTGTGTGGTGACCAATGGCTGAGGCTTTGCTGCCCAGCATTGTGCTGCAAAAGTGGTCCCATTCACCCCAATGCTCCTCCTTTCAACATGCGCCTCCAGGAACTCCTGGAGCAACTGTCCAGCCCCGAGCAGCAGGCACCTGTCCAGGTGTGCTGCCCAGCCCGAGCAGGGGCACAGGGTGCCCGAGGTAAGCAGCAGTCGTGGGGAGGTGGCCGCTGCATGGCACACAGTGGTTCTGCTGCAAGGACCGCGACTAGCAGGCACCTCCCACCCAGGGCTGTCTGCAGCTTGGGCCAGGATCGCTGGGGGACTGCTAGATCCAAGCCCACCTGACTGGCAGGCAACCCTCTTGTAGTTCTCCACAGAGCCACATGGGGCGCCCTTCCAGGCCCTGGTGCCTTACCTGCCTGCTCTGACATTGTGATTGTTCTGGGCACCCTGTCTCTTGGTGATTTTAAATGAAGGCCTTGAGGCCCTTGGCCTCCTCTGCTGGGCCCATGCGTGGGGGCCTCACCTGCCTCTGCTGGAGGCTGCTGGGGTTGACACACCCCAGCTGGATGCCCTGCACAGAAGGGGCTGGGTATCTTTGTGGCCACTAGTGGCAAATCACGGCCCTGGTTCCACTGTGTTTCTCCATCTCCATCTCAGCCTCGCAGCATGTGCTTTCCTCTCCCCAAAGGTTCAGGGGGCAGTCAGTCTGCTAGACCCTAGGCGTGCGGCATTGCAGTCAGCCCCTGCAGCTCCCGCCTAGCCCAAGACATGGTCCCTGTGTCAGTGCCAGGTACCTGGATGCTAATGGTCTGGGCTGTGCCCCAGAGACAGGTGTAAGACAAGGAGAGTACAGCCACTCTAGAGGCCAAGGGCAGCCTGGAGTCACTGTACCTCCCTCCCCTCAGCTGGACCCCCAAGGTGGGCATGACCTCCACCTATCCCATCCCTTAGGGTTAAACTGCTGTTTCTGCCCTCAGTTTGCCCATCTGCAGAATGGCATAAGACAAGGTCACACTAAGGCCTGCCCCCTGGAATCTTTAGCCAAGTCCTACAGTGGAGGAAGGGGTGAGGGAGAGTACCCCCAGAACCCCTACCCTTCTGATATTACCACCCCGAGGGCTTGCAGGACAGAGGTCAAGTGCATCCCCAAGTGAGACAGGCCCAGCACTCACTGTACCATCCAGGCCTGCAACCCAGGCTCTGGGGCCCAAAGGCTCTGGAGGGGCATAGGGAAACCCCTGCCATTCTCCTGGAGGGAGTCCTGATTAGACCCTGTTCCTTCATGGAGCAGGGGGTGCAGCAGGGTCTCCAGGGACCTGTTGAGTGTAGGGTGAGGCTCTTTACCACCAGGCTGGCTCCCAGCACTCCGGGCAGAGCAGAGAAGGGGGGAAAGAAGGGGCATCAGATGTAACCAACCGGGGTCTTTTGGGAGCCTTGCACCCGGCCTCAGTGTCACCGAATTCTCCCCACTGCCTCATCCCACCAGGACCACTGGCCAGGAAGAACCCTGAAGACAGCAGGCAACCCCTCAGGCTGCAGAACCCCAGGCCACAATCTCAGATCCAGTGCTGGGCCCAGGGCACAGGGCAGAGGAAGAGAGGCGAGGGGCATGCTTGAGACTAGGGCAGGGAAGAGGCCGGTGCAGGCCCAGGGCAGATCATGCCTCCCCTTTTCCTGCATCCCTCTCAAAGAGGGATAGGAAGGAGAGGGGATGGAAGGGGAAGAGGAAGGCTGGGCCAGGATGCCTCTCCCACTCCCTTTGCACCCTCTCCTCCCCACTTCTTCCCCTCCCCTCCCCTCCCTCCCTGCCCGGCCATCAGGCACAGCCGCAGCTGGAACCCATTACGCCCCTGCGCCTCTCGGGATGTGGCTCCTAAGTGACCCTCTGTGAACGCTTGGAATGAGTCAAGTCCGAGCTGCGTGCCGCCTTCCCGTTAGCGGGTGGCGCCACGGGTGGGGTGTTTGGGGAGCAGGGCTCTGGAGCTTCCAGCCTTGAGAGGCAGAGCCAGCTCACTGGTCCCTCCTCCGAGACCTGGGGTGATGTGTGCCACCTACCAAGCCAAATCCCCCACTCCCCACACCGCAAGGGGCCAGGCCAGGCCCAGGCTGCAGTTCTTCCATGCTCTGGGATGAGGGTGGAGCTGGCCCTCCTCAGCTTGTGTGCAGGGGTCCACACACACCAGTCATCTGTCCCACTTCAGCTGCAGGGGAGACTTTCCTGGTGCACCCAGGTCCTCTGGGGATGCGGATGAGGGCTGGGCCTTCTCAAGACCTGGGAACAGTAGGGGTCCACCTCACATGCAGACACCCACAGGATCTTGCTTGGAGGCTGTACCCCAGCCCCGTAGCGTCTCTGGGCCTCCAGTGTCACGCATAGCCTGGGTCCTGGTGAGTGAAGTTGGACCCCAGCAGGCAGATCCAGATGTCGGGAAATGTGGAGGCAGGATGCCTAGTGACCTCAGGACATGCAGAGGCCTAGCCCAGGCTGGAGGGACAGAGCCAGAGGGATGGGGGGCTGGGTGACCCAGGAGCCCCCAGCTCGGGCAGCAAGTGAGAGCCAGGGTAGTGGGGACAGCCAGGAGAAGGCAAGCAGGAAGTCGCCAGTGGGGAGGAAAGGGGGACTGTGAGGACAAGGGTCCTCCCATCCTGGCCTGGAGCCAAGGAGGGAGGGCTGGGAGACCGACACCCCAGGGGACTGGGAAGTAGAATCCCCCCAGGCATCCCTCCTGAGCCCAAGTCCCTCTTACTGGGTGTGCTGCCCTGTGCCTGCAAGTTGCTTCCCCCATGTGGCACTTCCCTGCTGGTGAGGAGGGGCAGCCCCCGCACCTGGGGAGAGAGCCCTGTCCAGGCCCCAGCTGGCAGAATGCAGGACCCCAAAGGCCACCTCCAGTACTGGGCCCTGGGACTTTGTGCCCAGCTCAGGCCTGTGTGGGCCTCTTCCCTAGCAGCTCAGCTGCTTGGGGTCCTCCGGGAAGAAGGGCAACCCTGGCTGCCCTCCCATGCCTATGGAAGCCCTACTATAGCAGTGTCTGCATCCTTTGGGAAGGGAAGGCAGCTGGGGCCTCGGCCTGTGCGCTCGGCCTGTCCCGCCCCTGCTGTGCAGCTGTCCATCTGCGAGCCTGCCTGACTCAGAGCCACTAGGCTGGAGCTGCCCCAGCAGGGCCTGCTCTCTGCCTCCTCCTCAATGCCCAGAGGAGGGCCAGGTACCACCCTGCTCTCCTCAGGGCCTTTGCTGCCTCGGGGTGGCCTGGTGACAACCCCACTAAGTCAGCGGGCTCATGTAGTTGCCTGGTGCTTTCCAGGGCCCACCCAATGCCAGGTGCTTCCGGATGTTTTTCAGAGGTTGGAGGACACCATCCTGAGCCCCACAGCCAGCAGGGAAGACCGGGCCCTGACCATGCGTGGGGAAGGGCAGCAGGCCTTGCCCATCCCTGTGCCTGCCCGCATCCGTGAGATCGTGACTGGCAGCCTGGGTGGAGAGCCACCACAAGGTGAGAAAGGGGGCAGCACACTAGAAGCTGAGTCAGGGTGCTCACAGTGGACTGCCCTGTCCTCTGCCCCCCAAGAACGTCCTCAGAGCACTCCAGCACGCAGGGGCTGAAGCTGTGACCATAGCACCCCAGTTGGTTCCTTCTGATCTTGTCCTTGTATGAGATCCCTAAGGGTTGGTGCTAACGGAGTGCTCATCACCCCCACCCTGTGCCCTGGGCCAGCACCCTACACACGGCACCCATGTTGCTCCATGCCAGGGTGAGCCGGCCCAAGGTGTGGTCTTGCCCCAGGCTTCGCAGCAGTCAGGCCATCTGTCCAGAGTGACTTGTGCCTTCCCACTGAGATGTCTGTCCTCCTCTGTGAAGGAGGGGTACACCTTGCCGGTGGTGAGGAGAGCAGGGCCCCAGTACCATGTCTGGGAGAGCAGCCCCTGCCTTGGGGATGAGACATCCAGACTGGTCCCAGCATCCAAGCCACAGAGCATGGCTTTGTTGGTGGGGCTCAGCCTGGACAACAACTGGGTATGTGGAGGCCTGGGGACAGGAGGACTGGGGGTGGCTGGTGGCAGCAGGTACTGACAGGCTGTGCTCACAGGGCTGCAGGAGCTGCCTGCTGCTGTGGCCCGCATGCAGGAGGAGAGCAACTTGCTGCAGGAAGAGCTGGCCCGGCTGGAGGGCCTGTTGACCCAGGCAGACACAGAGCGGGACGAGCTGGCCAGCAGGTGCCACATGGCCAGCAAGCAGGTGAGCATGTAGGCTTGGCCTAGCCCTTGTGAAGGGTCCCCTGTATGAGACCAGAGAGGGCAGTGTGACACAACCAGACCCTAGGCAACAAATGAGTAAAATGAGGCCACGGTGGAGACCCTGCTAGACCACTCCCAGATATGGTGACTTCGAAGCAGAGCAGGATAGCAGCTGTGGCTCCACCCGCACCACAGGGACAGAGCCCACACACAGCCCCTGCTCACTCCATGCTCAGGCCTACTGAGCTTTCACAGCAGGAACAGTGAGGAAGCAGGCTCAGAGGGGCAGTGCTTGCCAGGCCCCCCACCAAGCAGGCCTAGTCCTGGGCCATCTGCACTTCCTAGTGTGCAGGCCCTGGGCCTCACCTGCTGTGTCCTCCAGGGAAGTCCCCCAGGATCCCAGTGCCACCGCTCTCCTGTGAGCTGGCTCCCTGGCCCCCTTTCTACTACACCCCACCCTGTATATAGGAAACACTCGCTCTCCTCCCCACCGCAGCTCTGGGGCAGGACTACTTGGGCCATTCTGACCGAGGAACTCTGGGCCTCAGCCTGGGCCCCTGGATCACACTGGCCTGGTCAGGCAGGGGTGGGATCTTCCTAGCACAGGGCGGAGCTGTTGGGAACAGCCCGAAGGGACAGAGGTCCAAAAGCCCTGTGGTTAGAAGCCTGTGAGTCAGACCTGAGCTCAGCTCCAGGGTGGGGCCACAAGGCTCCCTCTGCCAGTTCCTCTAGGCAGGCAGACAGGAGAGGTCTTGGTGCCAACATGACAGGGTGGCCCACCATTGGATCTAAGCCCTTCCTACCCTGTTGAGGGCTGAGGGGACACTAGGCTGGCCGTGGGCCCCATCCTCTCTGTCATTCCCTGGGCCCTGGGGCCTGGGCCCTGATATGTCTTCCTGACTCCCCTAGACCTGGATCACCCAGGGCATGGCTATGGGTTGGCAGCCTGGGGCTCTACGTTCTATAGCAGGAGGTGTCCCAGTCCTCTCTGGACCAGGGCTGGAAAGTAGCCCAGGCTGAAGGGCTCCCTGCGCCTTGTGTAGCTGTCGACCAGGCCTCATGGGGCTGAGCCAGGCTCTGAGGCTTTCCCCTGGCTATCAGCAGGGCATCCTGGGCCACTGGGACACCAGGGAGTCAGTCTACCCATCTGCCAGTGAAACAGGTGTGGGAATCTAGGGCCTCTAGAGCCCTCCTCCTAGGTCTGCTCCCAGGGCCAGGTGGGATGACGTTAGCCATGGCTCCGATGGGCTCCTGGCCCCCAGCTGCAGGCCCAGCTGAAGACCACCGAAGCACGGCTGCGGAGGTCAGAGCTGGAGCACAGTTTGGACTTGGAGGAGGCCCTAGGCCGCCTGGAGGCTTCAGAACAGAGGTGAGGCTGGGTGGCGGGCAGTGGGCGGCAGGTGGAAGGTCAGGATGGAGGCCTCACCACCCCAGCTTTGGTCCCACCTGCTTGCCCTGGGACCCCCACTTCCTGTCCCTGGGGGACAGGGCTGAGAAGAAAAGCAAGGGAGATGTTGGCCTTGCCTGATATCCTCTGGGGCCACCCAGGGGAAGATGGCAGACACTGCCTCCAGTCACACTGGGCTCAGCAGGGGTTCCCCCTCCCCATAGCACAACCTCACACTCAAAGTGGGGTGACAATGCCATGCCTAGGCCTCCTCCACCTAGGGCAGCCTCTCCAGTTCAGGCCCTGCAGCGGGGTTCCCTGGCCCTGGCCCCAGGTGCCAGTCAGCCTCAGATGCCCGCTGAGGCTGTTGCCGGGGTCCTGCTGCCTATGTGCCCGACTTCCCACCCCCTCAGCTCTGGGCCTTCTGACTCCATGGTTGCTGCTCTTCTCTACGCCTTTGCAAGCGTTCATCCCACCCAGCACCCACTGACAACCTCAAGTCCAGCTTGCACTTAGGATCTTGGTGCCAGAGTCTGTCACTGGCCTAGCACTGCCCTGGTACTCTACCCTTAGCTCTCACCTTTGCAGCCCCAGGCCCCAGGCCCCGGTCGGGAGTCTAAGCCTCTGTGGGACACTCCCCAAAGTTGGCCCGTCCTTTGGCACTCTGGGAAAGGAAGGCTGAGAAGTGTTTTGAAAACCAGTTTTGAGGGGAAGCAGCCCAGCAGAGGCCGATGCCTGAGGAGTGTGACCACTGGCTGTGGGTGGCTGTGCAGTCCAAGGTGTCACAGGGCCATCCAGCCAGGGTGCTGACTCTCTAGCCAGAGGGGCCTCGCCCGGCCAGGGACCTACCGGTAGGGCTTGTGCTCCTTTGGCACTGAGGGGCGCCCAAGGGTAGTGGCAAAGCTGCGAGGGCTCAGGAGGAGGCAGGAAAGAGGGACCTGGCTGGGTGCTCACTCTCCTTCCCATCCTGCCATCAGAGGGACCTAGTGGGGAATCCAGCACTGCTCAGGCCCCTGGGAGCTCTTGGTTTGGGGCTGCAACCCAGCAGCTAGTACCCATCATGCACCCCTGTGGTTCTGTCCATCCAGGAGCGCTGGCCTTGCCCAGGTGAATGGTCTGCTGCGAGGACAGCTGGAACACATGCAGAAGGCCAACGAGAGGCTGGCTCAGGAGCTGGCCAGGGCGTCAGGCAGTGTGGTCCACCTGCAGCGGCAACTGGAGCTGAAGGGAGCCTGGCGCTGGGCAGAGACACAGGTGTCCCCTCCCCCTTGGCTATCTTCAGGGACGGCTGTGGGGGTGGGGTGGAGATGGGAGAGCAGGAGCTACCACATCTTCTGTCTAGCTCTGTGGCAGCACTCTTTTGTACTAGGGACATTCTGGCCCCCTTTCCCTGGGGAGAAGCACAGGCCCCTGGGCATGAGTCAGGCCTGGTCCAGGCAGGGTCCAACAGCCCTGTTGCTAAAGGCCAGATGCTGGCAGGACTTTGGGCCAGGGCTGCTCACTTCTGACAGCCAGGCCAGCCACAACTGAGAGGCCAGGACCCTGGGCCCAGGCTGCAGCCCTTCGGGAAGGAGACGTCTAGGTGTGACTCTCTGCTTGCCCCTGACTTGAGACCCTGTGAGTGAAAACTCTCGTGCCTGAAGAAGAGTCCCCATCAGTTCTGACATGTTCCCAGCTGCCCCATGAAAGGGGCCTAGAGGCACAGCCGGAGTCCTTGGTGTGCTCCCATGGCGGGACTTCTCTCCCCTGAATCCTCCTACACTGCCCCCATGTTCTCCCTAGGAGGCTGTCCCTGCCTCCCACAGCTCCTGCCCCCAGGTGAAGGTCAGCAGCTGCACACTGCCACCCAGAGCAGAGGGGGCAGCGCCTCAGATGAGCCCGCTGAGGTGTGAGGGGCCCTGCCTCACTGTGTGTCACCAAGGGAGCTTGAAATCTCTAATGGCCGAGCTTAAGCATGTGACAGTGGAGACATCACATGCATGGCCTTGTCTGCCTCCTGCAGCTGGCCCATATGTGACAACTGCAGGAGCAGTGTCACTGTGTCCTGGGCTCCACTCAGCACTCATTCCTCCTAGAGGCCTCATTTCTGCTGCCTGCGGCCATTGCTGTCCTGACTAGCAACTGCCGGCCTGGAGCTGTACAGGGCCTTAAAGGGTGGGGCCTCCCTGCCTGTGCTGTGAGGAGGCTGCACCGTCTCCTTCTGAGGTCACGCAGAAGCCAGGGCTCAGCTTTGGGCTGGGGTCCAGCAGTCTCACAGCCCCGTGTTTCTGTGTGCATTTGTTCCCTGTGCTGCATTTGGCTCACTGGGGACGCACCTTTTGTTACTTTCAAAAGGGCAGCCACCCCTGTAGCTGCTTCCCTGTGCCCCCTCCCCTGCCCCAGCAAGGTGCGTCCCCTCCTGCTCCGAGCCAGGGCCTGGTGCCCTGCTGGGCTGCACAGGGCAATGTCTTCATACCCACCCTCCCACTCACCAGTGTCTGTTTTTGATGCCTGATCTGCTGGCTGCTTGGCTCTGAATGTCATCCTTGTCCTTATCGTTTGTGGAAGGGTTGGCTGAGGCTCCCCAGACACCTTATTCCTGATTTGTGCTTCTGAGCCTCACTAGTTGGCCTGTTTAAGGTGGTTGTTCTGTGCTCTGTCCAAATCGTGATGTGTTTTCCAGGACAACTTTGCCACTCTGCAGCTCCTCGGCCTGGTGCTTTGGCTCCTTGTATCTTTGGTGACTTCTGGTTTTAGCCAAGATTTGCTTATTTTCCTTGGAACTCGGTGAAAATTCTTGGAAATCTGGAGTGAATATAGCACTTCCAAAAATGACATTGGCTTCTGGTGGGTGCCGTAGATTGTCGGCTTGAGCGTGTCTGAGAATGCCAAGGTTGTGGCATGCAGGCTGTGATTGTGATGTTCTGCTTGAGGGTCCAGGTCTTCCCTCTGTTCACCGCCAGCATTATAGAAGCCAGGGTTTTCCTCCTGTAGCTCACATGTAGGTGTGTGAGCATGCATGTGTGAATCCGTGTGTGTGCACATGTGGTATATGTGCAGTGCATGTACATGTCAGAAGTAAGAGTGGCATGTGTGCATGTGTGTGTCAGAATGGTGTGTGACAGTGTGAGAAGGTAGGACAAATAGCTTAGCAGATTAAAGCACCTGCTTAGGCAGATGCAGGGGCCCGGAGTTCGATCCCCAGGCCTGCCGTGCCGGCCCTGCCCCAGGGGCGCACTGAGACGGCGATTGAGACTGGGCATGGTGGCGCATACCTGTAATCCCAGCACTTGGGAGGGATTAAATAGCAGGATCACTACAAATCCAATCTAGATAGTGAGACCCTGTACACTCTGTCCTAAATACAAAAGAAAAAAGAGTATGAGGACATGTGTGTTGGAAGATAGCGGTGTAGTGTGCGAGTATGCACATGTGAGTGTGAGTATGCACATGTGAGTGTGAGTATGCACATGTGAGTCCCCATGCCTGGTATGAGCGTGATGTGTGTGCATGTGCATAATGTGTATTTGTGAGTGGGTACGAGAGTGGTATGTGTGTGAACCCATGTATGTGACATATGTACGTGTGCACACATGAGGGGCATGTGTGTGGATCTATAGGTAAGCCTGGTTTGTGTGGTGTGTGCACCTGTGGTCTGTGTGCTGGCATGTGTGCGTGTGTGTGAGCACATGGGGGTGTGAACGCAGTGGTGGCAGGAGTGTGTAGGAGGTGTTCTGGCCTTCCCCTTGTCGCCTGGCCTCTGCTGTGCCCCTTCTCTACTGCAGCTTAGGGGCGTCACCCACATGTGAGGAGACCCCATGCCTGGACCCTGCTCCTGGCACACCTCAGGCCTGAGGGCCCTTGTCTGGCAGGAAGCTGCCTGGTTGCAGACCCCAGGCTTGCATGCTTCGCTGCATCCACCCAGGGCTGCTCAGGATGAGCTTAGGCCTGGCATCTCTCACCATCCACATGCAGAGGGCCAGCAGGGCTCTGAGTAGCTCTCGGAGGAAAAGCTGTGAGGTCCTGGGCCACACAGTACAGAGAGCTGGCTAAGCCAGGTGACCCCAGCAGGCCCCAGAGCAGGGCATGCAGGAGGTGGCTGCACGCAGGATTGTGCCACAGCTATGCTCCCAGCAGAATGGAGGCCTCAGGTTGCTCACTATAGTGACCCTAATCCACCCACCAGGTCATCAGCAGCCTCCATGAGGCAAAGCTGTCCCTGCAGGCCTGTTCCTGGACGGCTTCTAGCGCCCCCTGGTGTATGGAGGCCATCCTGGGCCCAGGGGAACCCTGGGGTGGGATGCCAGGCCCAGCCAAGGAAGCACCCAGCACCAGTAGGGCTCAGCGTCTGGGGTGGCCTCACCCTGAGCAGCCCCTGTTCCCGGGCACAGCCTTGCCTTGTGGGGCTGGAGGTGCTCCCACCCCAACCCCCTGAGCTGCCCTGTCAGTGTGGGGAGCTTTCCCCTGGAGACACAGCGAGGTTCCAGGGCCAGGGCTCATGCATCTGGACATCAGGGCTCCAGGATCTGGTGGACGGCAAAGCTGCACACTTGCAGCACCAGCCTAGCCTACAGTAGACATGGACCTCTCCTTCCAGGCCTGGCCGCTGCGCCCTAGGGAGCCCCAGGACTTGCTCCTTCTGTGGAAACAGGCTGTGGCACTGCGGACACAGCTGGCAGAGCTGCGGGCAGCCACGGAGAGGTAACCACATGTACACATACACACATACACACACACACACAGAAAGAGACTGGCTCTGGCACCCTCTACCCTTGAGCTGGCTGTCAAGAGGCCCACTGGGGAGAACAGAGGGCAAGGGGAGATAGAAGGGACCTGGGGAGGGAGAGGAAAGGGACAGAGTGGTACCTGACTGCGTGGAGCTTTTGGGACACATCCTTTCATGGCGGGCACCTTGTGTGGGTCTGTCCTGCACACAAGGGTCACACAGCTCAGAGGGCAGTATCGGGCCTCGGGCCCCAGCCCCTGCTCCAGCTGTGCCCCATGCTCTGTGGCATAGGGGAGCCTCTTGAGGATGGCCAGGCACCAGTGTGGTCTGCGTAGCCACCTGGTGCAGCTGGATCCCCAGGCTCAGTGAGAGCACACCTGGTTCTCAGAGGCATTGCAGACATGCAAGCAGACACAGCCAGAACAGCACGGCACCTGCACGTGGCCTGCCTGAACCTCGATTCCAACCTGCGGCTGGCAACCAACAGTACAGCCAGTGCCCTGGAGCGGCAGCTGGGTGAGCAGGTCCGAGAGGTGCTGCAGCTACAGGGCCACTGGGACACAGAGAAGGCAGCGCTCCAGGCCAGGTGAGTGCTGGGCCGGGAGGGCCAGTGCTCAGTCATGTCTGCCAGCCCCTGGGGTGCCATCCCATCCTGCACTGGGGTCCTGCTGCTCCCATGTGCTGACACCAGGGTGCATCGCTGACCTCAGTCTGTCCTAGTGGCCCGGTCTGACCTAGGCTGGAGGCAAAGGCCAGGGCCTGCTTGATGTCAGGGGTCACTGCGGGCACCGCAAAGAGTACGTGGACTGTTTTGTCATGTCTGGGACCCAAATGTGGGCATGTCAGGCTCAAAGCAGCAATGTTGGGGCCGGGGAGATGGCTCAGTGGAATAAGCGCTTCCCTGGCGAGCGCAAGGGCCTGAGTTCAATCCCTGGATCTAAAAAAAAAAAAAAAAAGCAGGAGTGTCTTCCTAAGCAGGAAGGGAGGCCATGGGCTAGTTCCCTCCTGTCCCATAGGAACAAGACCAGCATCCTATCTGGGGGTCTGTGAACTTCATGGAACACGTGTAAGGTTCTGAATCCACAACCCACATCTGAGGTTCAGAAGTTTCTTAAGCAGCAAGAGAAAACACAACCAGGTGTAGTGGCCTATGCCTGAAGTCTCAGCACTTGGGAGGCTGAGGCAGGAGGATCATGAGCTCAAAACCAACCTGACTACATCATTAAACCCTGTATGAAAAAAAAAAAAAAGAAAAGAAAAAAATAGGAGACAGCCCTCGGCCACAGGCTCAACACCATGGACCAGGGGCTTGCCCAGATACCCCATAGACTGGCTAGCACCAGCGCTCCCACTTTCGAGGGCCTCAGAGGAGTGGGTGTGGGCTGAGAGAAGCCACACAGGCAGCTGCAGCTGCCTGGGCAGCAGGGCTGAGGAAGGGCTCCAGGGAGGGAGAAGGTAGCAGCTGATGGCAGGGGAGCTCTCAGCAGGGCATGTGCTTGGCCAGGGTGGAGACCGAGACCACCCGCTGTGCTGGCCAACAGGGCAGGGCCCGGCCTCCTGGACCGGGCTGCAGGGCTGAGCTGGTTAGGGTGTGGGCTTTGAATGCCAAGGTCAGGACCAGCACTTCAGCCCTGACTGGGAAGCCATTGAGGGGTAACAGCAAGGATCAACCTCAGGCCAAGGGAGTGCCCTGGGGAGGAGGTCACAGTGGGAGGATCCTGGGCAAAGCTGGACATCCTCAGGGCTCCCACTTCCCTAGGCTCTCTGAGCAGACCCTGCTGGTAGAGGAGCTCACGGTGCAGAGTGAGCGGAGGGAGAAGATAATCGCATCCCTTGAGCTGGATGTCCAGAGATTGGTATGTAGAGCTTCAGGAGCGCCTTGTGGTGGGGTCCACCTGCCTAGCTGAGGGGTCCCTGCCCACAGGAATCTGGGCAGCACAGTGGGAGCCGCCTAGTGGAGAACATCCTGCAGGCAGAGGTTGAGTTCCTGCGGAGTGTCCTGGCCAGCATCGAGGAGGTTCGGCCCACTCAGCCCTGGGGAACAGGCCAGGCAGCCTAGAGGCCCATCTAACTGTGGTCTTGCACTCTGTCCCCTCTGTCCCTCCTTTGCACTCTGCAGGTGGCCCAGTCAGACGCTGGGAGCCCGGAGTGGCTGAGGCGCAGCAGCACTGAAGGTGAGGAGGTGCGGGGCCAACAAAGAAGCCCCCACCACGGCCTGTCCCCACCGCGGGCCTGCACCCCAGCCGACCTGGACCCTGCACTGCAGGCCGTGCAGGCATTCATGGAGAGGCGGCAGCAGCGAGAGCAGGTAGGGTCCTGCACCCAGGGTGACCCAGGCCAAGTGCACAGCTGGAGGGGCCCCTCACACAACCCACCCGCAGGAGCTGGTCCTGCAGCTGGCATCCTCACGGGCGGTGGCTGCTGGGCTCCGCGAGCAGCTGTCAACATGCGGGCAGGAGCTGCGGGCCTCACAGAGGCTCCTACGGGACAGGGCCCAGGAGTGCGAGAACCTCCTGGGCCAGCTGGAGGTGCAGAGGCACGAAGCTCGGTGCTGCCAGACATCTGTTGAGCTTCTGGGAAGGTGCCAGGGTGGCAGGGCTGGCAGAGAGTGGGGAGAGCACCACGCTGGGCGGAGGCCGGGCAGGGCCACCCTTCCCAGACCTGGCCTCGCGCCCGCCCCATACCGCTTCTGGCACTGGGTCCAGCCCCTGGCCTGATGTCCTCTCCTCCTCTCTTACTCTCTGCCTGGACCTTCCTGCCTCTCCCCAGGGAGAAGGTGGCCTTGGAGAGGGAGGTGGAGGAGCTGAGAGGGGCGGCAGACATCAGGGATGCAGAAAGGCAGAGGCTGGTGGCAGCCAACGCAGCACTGCACAAGAGCCTGCGGCTGCAAGCTGGGCAGAGGTGGGCCACAGCAGTTGCTGGCGCCTTCCCTCTCCAGGCCTGGGGGTCTTGCGGGCCAGCTATTCCTGTCCATCTCGCCTGGGGGGCCCAAGGTTTCCCCAGGGCCTGCTCCTCTTAGGACCCCCTTGGCTTGGACAGGTGCCAGGGTTCGCCCTACCTCTGGGTCTTTTGAGTAACTCTTGTTCACCCTGCGATGATCTCTACACTCTGTCCTTGCCTTGGACTCAGCCAGGGACGCCTGCAGCAGCTTGAGGAGAAGGTCTCCAGGCTCAGAAAGGAGCTAGCGTCGGCCCGGGAGGCGCTGAGCACAGCGCGCTTGCAGAGGGACTCGGCAGAGAGTGAGCGGGAGGGCCTGCGTGGTGCCTTGGCCCGGGTACGCCACTGCTCTGGACCTTGCCCCTCTGTCCCACTCTGTCCCCCAAACCTGGGTGCCTTTCTGTTCCCTGGCTTCCCTGTCCTCACCTCCTTGCTTGCCTGGACCTCAGCCCTCACAGCTCCCACAGCACAGCCTTCCGCATCCATGCACAGCTCAGGGCCCTGCTGGCCACGCCGCTCCCAGGCTGTCCGGGGCTGCGACCCCTCCTCCCACGAGGCCTTCAGGGCCCAGGGGCCACTGTCTCCTAGAGCCCAGCAGGGTCCTTCCACTATGTCACAACTTCCAGCTCACTGTCCCTGCACCCCAGTCCTGTCACAGTATCTCGAAGTCCCTCCCTGGAGTCCATCCATGATTCCTGCCCCCTCTCCAGGCTGAGTCCAGCAGTGCTGACCTGGAGCTGCAGGTGATGCGGCTGAAGTCAGAAGGGGTGGAGCAGCGGGACTCACTGGCCACAATGGCCACCCTGATGGAAGGGCTGGCCCAAGACAAAGGCTCCCTGAACCACCTGGTGCTCCAGGTGAGCAAGGGCCAGGGCAGCTTGCCCTGTGCCTCAGTTTCCCCAGGGCAGCTGAGCACCACCTTCCCAGGCCCCACCTCTTACCAGTCCCTGGGCCTCTTCCCAACCTGATGGCCACCCACCCTGAGAATGGGTGTTGGGAGTAGAAAAGGGCAGTGCCAAAGGCACATAGTGGGCAGCCCACTGGGCCTGAGGGGTTGTGGCATGTGGCCCAGATGAAAAGCCTTGCTTCTGGCAGCTAGAGCAGGAGCGAGACCAGCTGCAGGAGCAGAGGATGGCACTGGAGCGGGAACAGGTGGGCGCTGGGCAGGTGCTGGCCCAGGTGGAGCAGCAGCTGGAGCAAGTGTGGGCTGAGCAGAGAGGCCTGCAGGAAGCCTGTGGGCGCCTGGAGAAGCAGCAGGAGCAGCTGGAGGCACAGGTGGACCAGCTCGGGCGTGAGAGGGCCCAGCTCCGGGAGCTGGTGGGCCAGGTGAGGCCGCTGTGGGCAGTCACACATCCTGGTCCCACCCCTGCTCACTGCGGTGCTAGAGACCTACCCACATCTATCCTGTGCTGGCACAGGGTCAGGGTGCTCCAAGGAGGAGCCCGGCAGGCTCTGCTCTGTCCTCCCCATCTTGATCCACACCTGCTGCTGAGCTCTCCCTGATAACTAGCAGTGGTGAGAACTCCACCGTACCCAGAGGCAGTGGTGCACACATGTGACCCAGGGCCATGGCCCAGTCTTCCGTAAAGGAGGAGCCACAAAGCAAAGAGTTCTGACACAGCTTGGTCTTTCCCGACTCTCCTGTTGCCTGTGTGGACGCCCTGTCCTTGCCAGATCCCAGGCCCCTGGTGGCATTTGATTCTGCTGACCCGTCACTTGAGGGATGACATGGTTCTCCATTTTCAGACACTGTTCTTTTTCTGGTCCTCTTTTTCATCTTTTATTTGCTTGTTTACAAGGATTTACTGAGGATTAAATCCAGAGAGTGCTGAGCTACATCCTCAACCCTTATTTTTTATGTTGAAACAGTTTGTTCAGTTGCTCAGGCTGGCCTTGAACCTGCCCTCTGGCCTCAGCATCGCGGCGTGCTGAGGCTTCAGGCACGTACCACTGTGCCTGCCTCTCTCTGTCTTTGCTGTGTAACTGCCAGGCAGTGAGCATCCTGACAGCTTTATGCACTGGTGGAGCCACTGCCACTGACACGATCTAAGTGGAGCGCATTCTCCAGCCCAAGGGTTGGTCCCCTTGTGCCCCAAGGGGCTGTCTCGCCCAGGCACTCTCCACCCAGCAGGCTGCTGGCCTTTGTGCTGGAGTGCAGTGGCCTCAGCAGCGGTGTGGGCACCACGGTACCAGAGGCCTGCCCCAGCTCTCCTGCCAGCTGCTGCTGCACACGCGGGCTGCTGGGCTGCTGGCGCCTTAGCATAGCTTGCGTGCACGGATTTGCCTTCTCCCTGAGTCGCACAGGAGTGCAGGTGGTGTGTAGCAGTGTGTTGAGCTCTACAGGAAACTGCCGAGCAGCCTTCCAGCAGTGGGGTGTCTCACCCACCTGCCAGCTTACAGGCCCATTCCGGAGGCCACGCTGTTGGTGCTTGACATCGTCTGTTTTTATTTTTAGCGATTCTTTGTGTATGAAGTTATATGTCACCACAGTTATGATTTGCATTCCCCTGATAACTAGCAATGTTGAGCATGTGCTTATCAAATATTCATGTTTGTCAAGGCTTTTGCCCATTTTTTTTTTAATGTTTTGTTGGGTGTTTAGTATATAGGACTTCTCCAGACCTCAGGGACAAAAGTGCCTTGCCAGTTAGATGTGCTGCCGTACTTTCCCCAAGTTTGTGTCTTGCCTTCGCATTTTGTTTTTTTCTGTTTTCTGTTGTTTTGTTTTGTGATACTGGGAGCTGAACCCAGGGCCTTTCTTGTGCTAGGCAAGCAAGTACTCGACCAAGTCCTTCATTTTCTTCAAAATGTTTTTTTGTTAATATTTTGAAACAGGGTCTCACTATGTAGCCCAGGCTCCCCTTGAACTCATGGCTATTTTCCTGCCTCAGCCTCCCAAAGACTGGGATTATAGGTGTGTGCTACCACACCCAGCCTTCATAATTTTTCAAAACTGAGACTCAAACTCAGGATATTGTACTTGCCAGGCAGGCGCTGTGTGGCTGAGCTGTAACCTCAGTCCCGTTCATATTTTTGATGGGTATAAAATTTCAGCAAATCTCTGTTTTCATGATGAGCATTTGGAGGTCCTGTCTGAGGAATTGTTGCCTCCTGTGCTGCCACCTGGCTCTCAGCTGCGGTGCTCCATCCAGCCCAAGCTGGTCTGTTCTCCATGCGAGTTGCACGAGCGCCCCCTGGGACCTCGTGACTGCTAATTCTTGTACGTTATGCAGGACCTACCAAGTCAGAGAGTGGGAGGAAGACCAGAAACCTGGATTCCAATGAGACTGCAGGCAGTCCCAACACACACTGAAACATGAGACCGGTGCGGTGCGTGGGCTAAAGTGGGAGTGGAGGCCCAATGTCTCCACTCTAATATGCAGCACCACTTTTGATGAGAGACTCTTTCTGGGTTACCTGGACAGCATGTTGAAAATAACTTGATCTTGCACATGGGACTCATTCTATGCAAACCAGTCTATTCATTCTTACATCAAAACCACACTGTCTGACCCCCTTGAGGAAGTCTTGCAATCGCACAGTATGCGTCCTCCTACCTGTCCTTGTTTCAGACCCTCTCCCAACCCATCTCCAATTTGTAGGCCACTTGTCCGTTTCTTCACTTCCCCTCCAAAAGCATGCAGGGACCTTGCCTGTGACTGTGCTCTTTGTAGTCCAATTTGAAGAGATGGGCCGCCCTAACTACACTGCACCTCCTAGCCGTGAACTAGTGTGCCCGTGAGCATGGAGAGCCTCAGCACAGAGGTTCTGCACATCTTTGACTGTGTTTATTCCCAGATTTTTGCACAAACTCTACTGCCCATTTAATTTCATTGTTCTACTTTTTTTCACTAGTGTATGGAAGTGCAGCTTCAGGTATTAACTCTGAGTCATGTGACCTTGACAAATTCCTTTATGAACACTGGGGTTTAGACTTGCAGCAGTTTTCCCTCTACATCTGTGAAGAATATTGGGCTGTAATTTTTCTT